GGTTAATTTGACACAAATTAAAACTCTACCTCTAGAAGAGCCTAACCATATCCGAATTAAGCACTAAAATATATGAACACTGTTGCCTGAGAATTCACAAGCATTGTGCACTCACGTGGATTGATAGGCAGTGTGGGGTAGCATTAGTTGGTATGGTAGTTCCAGAGGGTTTAAACTGGATTATTCAATCATAAACACACACACACATATTATAGTGTTTTATTGTTTTCCAGAATCCTTAAAATATGTTACTTCTGTTAGTCAAGACCACAGAACAATAAGTTATATCATCCCCTCAAGAAAATCCAGCTCAGAAATGCCTGATGACTTGCCTGTGCCTGGTGAATAGCAGACCTGGGGCTAGATCTCAAATTTGTATCTATTAACTCTCTAGAAAATAAATGCTGTCTCACTTTGCAAATTCTAACAAATAAAGCACTTACTAAAAGGAGACACTGTGAAAATCCAGAACTGTATATACATATCTATCCCAGAAATACCACATACTTTATGCAAAATATTTTGTTTTCTGAAATGGTAAGTAAGAATAACTAGATGATAATATTTTATTGAAAATCACCTTGATCCCAAAGCTTTCTGAGGCGAACTGTGAGGAAACAGAAAGTTGAATCCCCATGCGATGGTCAAAGAAGATAACAAGAGCTTTAAAAGATTTCTGACTTTCTCATGACTTGTTGGTAATAAATCCTAAGAATTCTCAATCCCTGCGTCACTGACCACAAGGTTCTAAGGAAAATGTTTGCACTTTTCCCCACTGGGTCAGCTTAAAAAGGTTGAGTCGTGGTGTGGCATGACCAAACAAGCAAAAGGAAATATTCTTTTCTCTGAGTAGAGAGAGGCTGGGAATTGGAATGTATAATGGAGAGAGGCACAAGCTGTGCTGGCTTGTCTTTGTCCTGTAGCTTTTAGAATATCCTTTGTGGAAGGAATGAAAGAAAACTTCCTGCTGTAAGAATAATGATGCCGTAAGGAAAAAACATCCGTTCCCCCTTGTAGTGTGCAAAATGTTTAGCTAAAGCAGCTGTTATCTGCTTTGAGTTAAAAGGTGGCTTATTCCCATCTCCACACTTCTGAGCTCCAGTTCCACTCGTGTTTACTGCTCCGTTTTTGATGTTGGTAGCCAGTATAAACAACGAAGCTATTTATCTAAACATTTTAAATCCTCGTCTCTTCCCCTCTTTCAGCCCACGCCTTAGCCTGTGGAACCGACTTACCAGAATGCTTATTTTCCTGTGAATTTTGGTCTTGGGAAAAGAGTCTCATTATTGAGTATGAGAAGGGTGACATTCATTTAAACTTTAAATAAGTCTGGTATATGTAGATGATATCTGACGGCCATGATGAGAAGGAGAATATGCAAGGGCCCTCAGATTTGTGGGGGAAGTTCTAGAGTGTGCTGTACAAATTTATTAGTTTGACCTTTTTTCTTCAAAAAAGATAATGTAAAGCAGAGACGTGATATCCAAAATACTCATAGGAAACCTAGGGGTTTGGAGTGAGTTAAGGAAAAAACATTAAAGAGGAGCCTAGTTCAAATTTCTCGTTTTTCTTCCCTCTACTTCACACCAAGTTGAAGCCTCTTTTCCTCAGGTGATCTCAGCCTGATCTGACAAAAGCAGTTAAAAAGGTACTGCGAGGGTGAATGGTCAAGGGGATGGAAGAAGTGGGGGGTCCCTGCAAATTCTGATGCCTTCAGGGGCCCAGTGGGAAATATTGGTGAAAAGCCAGAGAGCTCTGCTCAGTCTCAGGGTCTAAGGGAGCCAGGGCTCCTCTCCACCGGCCAGCTGTTGCTTCCTGGGACTTGGGGCTCATGTGGCCTGGTTTTTTTTTTTCAGGAAATCTGGAAATCAGGTTTTTTTTTTGTTAAATTCTCCCAATTTTTAAACAGTATAACAAAGATGTCACTTTGACAACTAAGGTGCACCCAAGACATAGCCTTTTCAGTTGCCTCATATGCATGCAAAAGCTGGACAAAAAAAAAGGAGACACAAGAACTGATGTGTTTAAACTGTGGTATTGGCAAAGAATATTGAATATACTGGGTATTGCCAGAAGAACAAACAAACCAGTCTTAGAAGAAATACAACTGGAAGGCTCCTTAGAAGCAAGAATGGTGAGACTTTGGCTTGCCTTCTTTGGACACGTCATCAGGAAATACCAATCGCTAGAAAAGGACATCATGTTTGGTAAAGTGGAGGGTTAGCGAAAAGGGGGGAAACACTGAGTGAGATGGATTGACATAATAGCCCAAACAGTAGACTCAAACATACCAACGATTATGAAGATGACTCAGGACCGGGCAATGTTTTGTTTGATTATACATTAGGTCACCATGAGTTGGAGCCAACTTGATGGTAACTAACACCAACAAAACAACAAATTTGGTGATTTTTAAAAACACTGTGTACCAAACAAAATGGGCTGGAATTCACTTGCCAGGTCTGCAGTTTTCCAGCTCAGGTTAATGAGCTTCAACCCCCAGGAAGCTTTGGAACCTTAAATACAGAGCTTGTTGACTCAGATTGAGCTAGGGGAATGAGGTTTTTCTTTTCTCCTCGATGGCAACGAGTTTGGTTTTTGGTTTGATTCACTTAATACAGGTTTATATCAATAAATTTTATAACTGTTTCAGTTGATAGTCACATGGATACAGAGGTGTGTAAGATACAGCCCCACCTGTAGCTCTCAGAGTAGTTTGACAGAAAGAAAGATGAATAGGAAATTACATTATAGTGAACTTCCTGTAATTAAGCAGGGTGGGTCTAGCTCAGAGGAAACTTAACCCTTCATTGGATGGGAACTGTGCCTTAAAGGAGTCCATCAGTTAAAAAGAGTGGGGGTGCTTTGCAAGTAGAAGCAAAAGGTGCAAAGGCACACTGATGATAAAGAGCAAGGCATATTTGAAGGAATTACAGGTATTTGTCACAGTTTAATGCTTATAAAAATCAAAACAAAGGATAATTAAAAACAGATCCTCTTAAAAAAAAACCAGACTCTTGGATGTACTGAATGAGAATCTTCAAGTGAGTATTTTTAATAGGCACCCCATGTGATTCTTAGGATCAGGCTTGGGTGGAGCAAGTATCATGGAAGACAAGTTTTCTAGGCTCCAGAGTAGGGATGTGTCAAATCTGAGAGCAAGATGGCCTGCCTGGACTAGAAACCTGTCTCCATTCCTTAACTATGGTATTTTGTTCGCAAATAACACGCACCTTCTACGTTTGTTTGCCAACCACACCCTTCCCCTGAAAGGTATTTTCGTAAGTGTGCTGTGCTGATTCTTTTACAGCAACATGTAAAAAAAAATTAGCATAGCGGTGCTTATGAAAATACCTGGAGGAGGGAGTGTGTGTTTGGCAAACATAGGAGGCACACATTTGTGTAAAAATAGGGTAGCTGGGCTACCATGGTGAAATAATGAGTCTGAGCATAAGAATCAACACAAAGTTGGTTCCTATGAGGCAGAGGTCAGATACACTCTCATTCTCTGACTTCTCCGCCATTTCTGACACCAGCTGTTCCCCCGCCCCAGCACTCTTTCTCAATATGATTCATTGCAGTGATCACAGTGAACTCGCGGAAACACCATATCTGCAATAATAACTTTAATATAAGAGAGAAGGATGTCAACAGAAACGAAGATATACATAGGGCTAGGTTCAGGAGGGGTCCAGCATGGGTTCTCAGCCTCTCAAGAGGACCCACTTAAGTCTCAAAGAGAACCTGCTTACCCTTCCAGAAAACCGATGTTCATTCTCCTTCATCAGGAAACTTTTAAAAGGGAACTGTTCTGTGATGTCATGTGGTGGGGGAACTGTTCTGTGATGTTATGTGGTGGGATCTGCTGTTGATCAATAAGCTGCTACTCTCAGCCGGCTCCTGGCATCTCCCAGCCAGCTCTTGGACAGTTCCTGCTCTGTGGACAGCCCCCTGCTCAGGCACATCCCAGCTCTCAGAATGTCACAGCTCTTAGCCAGGTTTGGCCTTTACACTCTGCTGTCATCATCTGGGCCCAATCGTTGTCTCCGCCTCTTCTGGTACTATTGCAACCGCTGCCTCTATCACTGTTGCAGGTTTTCTCTGCCTGGGAGGTTCTCAGCACAGGGCCTCTGTGTCCAAAGGGTGCACTCCCGTCCTAGCTCTCATTGATCAGGAGGCCCCATCTGAGCCTCTGCATCCTAGGATTTTTATCAGTCACTAGGTGAGCCCTCCAGCCAATCCAGGTAAAAGTCAAATACCACACTCAGGAACTGACCTTATCCAATTAGTAGGGGGGAAGGCTGACCTTTACTGGTATTGGCTGGAGGGCCGCACCCTATAGGCAACCTTTACATGGACTGGCTGGGGGGATCCCACCCGGGGCTCCCCTGCCAATCCGAGTAAAGAGCTCAGGCAAGGGTCGGAACCAGGACCAAAAGGCCAGATTGCCTTTTGGTAAGGTAATTCCACACCACACCCATGGGCAAGAAAGTTAACCTTTGTGCTTAATTTTCCACACCTAAAAATGTAGCTAGCATTTCCACTTTCCAAGCTTGTCTTGAGAATTAAAATGTAAAATGCTTAGGACATTATCATTTTCCTGCTGACTTTATTCCTAGCCTATAGCAATGGGGTAGGCCCAGAATAATTGCTCAATAAATATCTATTGAATAAATAAGACTGGGGAGGTATAAAAGGACCAGATCATCAGGAGCCTTCATCTTCTTACTGTTCCAGGTGACGATCTCAGGGAGGCAACCCTCTCTTCTCCTCCACCTCGCCGACCTGGAACCACATTAGTTACCCTCATGTGGCTCAGTTTAAAAAATTAAAATGGGAATAGCTCCTGTACTAAAGGATTTCTAGTGTACTACATCAAAAAGAAAAAAATAAATAAACACAATATGCTGTTTCCCTACAGCAAAGTGAGAAAGATTTGTGAAGCGCTGCTGCTTTAATTAACAGCTTTATTTCATTTTCTTCTTCTCACCTTACCTCAGGCTGCTGTGGTACCATCTGCTCAGACCCTTAAAATTACTGACTTCAACTTCAGTGACTTTGAGATGTCCGATCTGGAGACAGCACTGTGTACAATTCGGATGTTCACTGACCTCAACCTTGTGCAGAACTTCCAGATGAAACATGAGGTAGGAATGCAGTGTTGGCCTTTGGAAAAGTGCAGGGGTGTGTGTGTGTATGTGTTTAAATGTGTAAGAAAGAGAATTTGTTTTGAATGCAAATATGAAATAGGAATTCTAAGTTTCAGTGATTAATGTGTCGTCACCTAATGCAAACCCCATAGTTTTAAAGAAAAATTATCAACTTTTATAAAAGGAATGATTCCTGGTGGTGCAGTGGTTAAAGCACTCAGCTGCTAACCAAATGGTTGACGTTCAAACCCACCAGCTGCTCCACAGGACAAAGATGTGGCAGTGTGCCTCTGTAAAGATTATAGCCTTGGAAGTTTTATGGGGCAGTTCTACTCTGTCCTAGAGGGTCGCTATGAGTCGAGATTGACTCGATGGCAGCGGGTTTGGGGGTTTAGGATATGAAAAAAAAGACTCCTACCATATGTCAAGCACCAGGTTGAAGAATAGAGGAAGAGTATTCCAAGAAGTAAGAGCAGGATTTGCATAGGTAGGATGACAGGAAAGGTTGGGGGTGGAGGGGGTGGAGCACTGGTTGAGGGGGTGAGAAACAACTGAAGAGGAATGCCAAGGATCAGATCATACTGACCCTTGTCAACCATCCAGTGGAACTGGGGTTTTATCCTGAAAACAATGGCAAGTTACTGAGGAATTTTAAGCAGGGAAGTAACATGATCTGACAGCAGAGGTAAGAATAACAACGTACAGGGAAGGTTATGATAACAATGTACGGTGTACTCCTTTGGAAATGAGAAAGTAAGGGGACTTGATTTGAGGCCAAGCTCTTGGTTAGAACAACTGGTGACTCACATGGGGTAAAAATGAAAACTGATTTTAACCATGTTGGTTGCCTTATTCTCACAAAGTAGCAAGACTAAAAGCAATAGCGTTTAGTATCAGTTTGGAGCTATCAGGGAAATCTATTTTGTTTCATAATGCTATGTATGTAACATCAGACTAATAGGGACTAGAAAGGACTTTTTGAAAAAATTCAGTAATCTTGCCTTTAAAGTTATTTTTCTGGTCAGTTCAATATCTAGTCTGCTTATACAGATTTCTTCTCAGGAAATTTAAATATCTTGAAGGCCTCTGCTTTTCAGCAATCCATTAATTCCTGCAATTAAAATTTTTTAATGTATACTACGTATGCAGTAAGGAGCGCTGGTAGCACAGTGATTAAGCACTCAACTGCTAACCAAAAGTTTGGCAGTTTGAACCTACCAGCCGCTCCACAGGAGAAAGACGTGACAATCTGCTTCTGTAAAGATTATAGACTTGGAACCCCTCTGGGGCAGTTCTACTCTGTCCTATAGGATGGCTATAAGTCAAAATCAACTTGATGGCAATAGGTTTTTTTATGTACCCAGTACTGTGATAAATTGTTCCTGCTCTTACAGACCTCACTGTTAGGCATGAAAACTAAGATCACTACAGTGTCATTATTATGGCATTATTGGGAGCCCTGAATCTGTCTTGAATTTAACGATGGTTATATTACTCTTTCTTGAGTGAAAACAGGAAACAACTGTCCGTAGATTCTTCTCTGGTAGTAGAACTTCACTCTTGTTAGAGTGTGTTGATTAAGGGGTATTGTCTCATTGAATCATTACGACAAGCACTCAAGAGAGGTTCTTTGTTTATTATTGTCCCAATTTTACAAATGAAGAAATTAAGATAGCAGGGTAGAGTAGAAAGATTATGGGTTTTGAGTCAGACAGAACTGAGTTTGCATCTTTGCTCTACTAGTGATTACTCTTATTACTGTGGACTTAAACTCTCACATTCTCAGTTTCCTAATCTGTTAATTGGGAGTAATAGTAATGCCTCCCCCATAGGAGTCTTGTGAGAATTATAAATGCATCTATGTGATTATTAAAGTGTATGTTTGTATTGTGTAGATATGTAAGTATTCTACTTAACACACAAATATAGAGTACTTGTCAGTTACCCCATTCTTATGCCAAATTTGACTATGGTAATGTCACTCCATCAAATGTCTCTATTGTAGATTATTGGACTCGATTTTTAAAACCTTTTCTATTAATGGAGTGAAGACTTCATTCAGTTTTTCTTCCTGCTAGTTAGAGTAAACCTAGATGACTTCTCAAATCTCCTTCCATTCCCAAGAGCTTTCAGACTTTAAACTTACTAGTAATGCTTCTGTTGAAAGGGCTTGGCCATAACAAAGTAATGTGATCTGTCTTAGTCATCTAGTGCTGCTGTAACAGAAATACCACAGTGGATGGCTTTTAACAAAGAGAAATTTATTCTCTCACAGTCGAGTAGGATACAAGTCCAAATTCAGGGCGTTAGCTCCAGGGGAAGGCTTTCTCTGTCAGCTCTGGAGGAAGGTCCGTGTCACCAATCTTCCTGTGGTCTGGGAGCTTCTCTGCACAGGAACCTCAGGTCCAAAGGACGCGCTTTGCTCCCAGCACTGCTTTCTTGGTGTTATGAGGTTCCCATGTGTCTCTGCTCACTTCTCTCTTTTATATCTCAAAAGAGATTGGCTTAAGACACTATCCAATCTTGTAGACCTCATCAGTATAACTGCAGCTAATCCATCTTATTACATCATAGTGATAGAGTTTACAACACATAAGGAAGTCACATCAGATTATAAAATGGTATACAATCATACAATACTGGGAATCATGACCTAGCCAAGTTGACAGATATTTCTGGGGGACACAATTCAATCCATGACATGATTCTTGTCTCTTTTTATGAAATTCTTATAAGTCGATTTATTTCTTATTTAGTTTTTAGGTAGCGTTTGAGGACTGGATATAAAGATAGTTACAGTTTCTTTTGCAACCTTTATTCTTACCTTTTCTTGAACTTTTATCCATTAGGCAAATACTTCTCCTCGATTTGGGATTCATCTATCCTCCTTTTCTGTTTAAATAACTACTATTCTAATTCTGGTCAACATCAGCTTGAACATCATAGTCATTCTGGTTGGCTTTCTTGCCTTAGCACCTCTTCTGTTTTATTTAGTTTAGATATTATTGTCAATATAATTTAGGATAATATGATTGAAGTGTTATGACTGGAGAGGATGTTAGCATCTTGAAGCTTCCCTGACAAAGAATATTTCCTATTGAAAGATACATCAAAGCTTCACGTCTCGGCTTGGCTTCCAGATTTCCTTGAGTTACTCTTCTATAACGCCACACTGACATTGCCTTTTGCCAATCTCTGAAACAGATTCTTGACTCTACTCAAAAAAATCTGCATGTACTGTACTTATTTTATTTTCACCTTCTATCTCCCACGTCATTCTTTCTCTGAAGAATATGTGCTCCATTTTATGCCCCAACATACTTTTCTCTTCCTCAGCCTGACTCCAAAATATCTCTTCCTGGAAGAATCCTAGGATTGACTTCATGTCACTTGGATTGCTGTTTGGCAGTTTACAAACTTGTACTCTCAATTTTTATGTCGGTTTATTTTTTATATATATACTTGTACCTTTGTTTATTTCCACTACTGATTGAGTTTCTTGGAGGCAGAAGATGAGCTATGTTTTCTTTTTTTTCTCTCTTTCTCATAGCATCTTGAGTGTGTCACCCAGATCCTAGGAAGCCTTCCCTAATTATTGGAGACTGATTCAGAGTCATGAGCATGCTCTCTAGAGTCATCCAAACTGCAAACAGCTATTCAATAGTCCTGGACAAAATCTGGGTCACAAATTTGAATGTTGCCCCCATATCCACTGGGATCGTAGCAGATCTGATCATAATTTCCTAGGATGCTGTTTAGAACATCCGGATGACAGAATCCAAAACTGCATGTAAATCTAGTTATTAACTACTGTATCCACTAGGTTACCCAATTCCATTAGGCCCTTCTTAATAGAAGTACAGTCTTATTGCCATCAAGTCAATTTCGACTCATAGTGACCCCATAGGACAGAGCAGAACTGCCCCCATGGAGTTTTCTAGGCTGAAATCTTTAAGGGAATAGATTTCCAGGTCTTTTCTCCCACGGAGCAGCTGGTAGATTCAAACCGCCAACCTTGCTGTTAGCAGCCAAGCACTTAACCACTGTGCCACCAGGGCTCCTTAGAAGTGCATTAGGGTAGTCAGTTAGGAATTACGCTTCATAGGGTCGTTTTAGTTGTTTCACATTATATGGTATATGTGCATGTTTAATTATATTTACAGATTTATGAGTAGTAAAAGGAACCCTGGGGTGCAGTGGTTAAAGTGCTCGGCTGCTAGCCATAAAGGTCAGTGGTTTGAACCCACCAGCCACTCCACAGGAGAAAGATGTGGCACTCTGCTTCCATAAAGATTTACAGCCTTGGAAACCCTATGGGGCAGTTCTACCCTATCCTGTAGGGTCACTATGAGTTGGAATCGACTCGATGGCAGTGGATTTGGTTTGGTTTGGTTGAGTAGTAAAATCTTATGTCCATAGGTTAAATATCTGTTTTTTCTTGTTAATTTTTCTTGCTTGTTTAATTAATCAGTTATTTTCTATAACACTTATCCACATGGTTTCTAAGTATTATCAAAGAAAGTTTATAGCTCTTAATTAAAATTCTCCAAATAAGATTATTTCATCACCTTCCTGGCAGACTTTATTCAGAAATGGTCATAATGAAAGAATCTATACTGTACTTGAGGTTAACACATACCAGTCTTAAAAAAAAAAAAAAAATTCACATCAAGTCAATTCCAATTCATGGTGACCCCATATGTGTGAGAATAGAACTATATTCCATAGGGTTTTCAATGGCTAATTTTTCTGAAGAATATCACCAGGCCTTTCTTCCAAGGTGCCTCTGGGTGGATTTGAACTTCCAGCCTTTCAGTTAACAGCCCAGCATCTTCACCGTTTGCACCACCCAGAGAATTCATATCAACCTTAGGCACACTGAAATCCTCCCTTTAAAATATGGTGACTCAGAGTGGAAGGGTTAGGAGACAGTAGGGTTCTTTGTTATCTGAACTCCCTGTGAATTGAGAATAGGAAGAGAAAGACCTGAAAATAAAAGGGAGACTGTGAAAGCATTGTTCACATACCAAATCGAGGTTTCCACCAACAATGAAGAAACTTTGTTTTTGGCCTACTTCTGTAGCCGATCATACCATTTTGGATATTGTCAAAGGAGCATTCTTTTCCCTGGTACTTCTACCATTTCCCAGGCAGTGCTCTTTGTGTTTGAAGCATCCCCAGTGATATAGGCAGGAAGAAGCACAGATTTATCTTTACAGATCCCCGAAAGTATAGTAAATCATTCTAATTTGAAGAGACTCTAAAGCTAACGCAAACACAGAATAACCATGCTTAGGTCCCATGAGTCCCAGGGAATTTTATAGACTATTCCCAACTCATGAGACGGGAAAAGTCTATCCTTTGTATTCTGTCTTTTAAAATCTATTTTTTTCATATGGACCCAGGGCTGTATTTCACTTTTTTTTTTTTTAATTACTTCTTGATAACCCATTGGTAACTGCCTGAATATTTAAGCATGGTTTAAAAGGGACATCGATCTAATGAGTGTATTAGGATTTGCAACTCCAGTTTGTCCTTGGATATGTGCTATATGTCCTGCCCTCAATCCAATCTCAAAGCCTCATACCAAATACCATCTCAAACATATCAAATGGGAGCAAGGGTCTCTAAAGTTGAGTTTATATACATGTGTGGCTATCTAGTTGGATCCCCTAATTGATGACACATGGACATAATATCTTTTTAAAAAGCTAGTCTGTGTTCTGCTCATGCTAGAGATGGCTTTCTTAGAGATGGCTTGTATTTCACATATAATTTAGTTAACATGGTGGTTAACATGGAGGGCCCTGGAATCAAAAGGTTCAGGTTTGAATTTTGGCCCCACCCCTTGCTTGCTGGCAGCATGACCTTGAGGAAGTTACTTTACCTGAGTGTCATTTTCTTTATCTGCAAAGTGATGCTAGTAGTGCCTCCCTCACAAAATTGTGAGGATTAAATTTAAATGCTTTATACTGTGCCTAGAACATAGTACATGTGACCAATGTTAGCAATTATTATTGTTACTTATGTTTTATTTATTTCCTAAAGGTTCTTTGCAGTTGGATTCTAAGTGTTAAGAAGAATTATCGGAAGAGTGTTGCCTATCATAACTGGAGACATGCCTTCAATACAGCTCAGTGCATGTTTGCTGCTTTAAAAGCAGGCAAAATCCAGGTACTTTTTAGAGCTATTTATAAATTTAAGACATTTTGTTGCTTTAATAATAAAAATTTACAGCATATTTTTTTGAGTTTGTTTTAAGGTACACTAACGATAATTGGTGGCAGTGTGCTTCTGTGAAGATTTACAGCCTTGGAAACTCTACAGGGCAGTTCTACTGTGTCCTGTAGGGTCGCTTTGAGTCAGAATCAACTCAACGGCAGTGGGTTTAATGATGATTGAGAATAATATTTACTTCTACTTACATAACAAATTATATTTTATTAATTAAGGAGGACCGTTGTTGTTGTTTTGTGCCGTAGAGTCGATTCTGACTCATAGCGACCCTATAGGACAGAGCAGTACTGCCCCACAGAGTTTCTTTGGCTGAAATCTTTACAGGAGCAGATTGCCAGGTCTTGTCTCCCATGGACTGGCTGGTGGGTTCGAATTCTCCACCTTTCAATGAGCAGCCAAGCACCTAACCAGAGCTCCTTTAAAAAGTACTTGTATGGCAAAGTACTTAATTGGTCATTTTCTTTCATATGTAATATATTTGGCATATTTTAAAATCTTTTTTTTCTTAACTTCATGTTAAATAGTCTCTGGGCAAATAAATATTTTCTTCAGAGGAAAACTCTTCAGTATTAATAAGAAAATATATCCTATGTTCAATCTACTCCATAGTAGAGTTCCTCTAAAACCACTCAAGTCCTGAAGTTGGCTTCAGAGATAAGTCCTGTAACCCAACTGTAATTCCGACTCATAGCGACCCTAGAGGACAGAGTAGAACTGCCCCATAGGGTTTCCAAGGAGCAGTTGGTAGATTCAAACTGCCAACCTTTTGGTTAGCAGCCAAACGCTAAATCCAGAGACCTTTATCTCATTTTCTCTGGAGCACTCAGCCAATTTTATGTTGTTCATGTTGTTATTTGCCCTCAAGCCAGTTTCAACTCATGGTGACCTTATATACAACAGAACAAAACATTTGCCCGTTCCTGTGTTGTCTTCCTCCTTGCGAGCATGTTCTAGTCCCTCAGTCAATTTTACAAGGACTCTTTAATCAAAGAGTTTTGGTTTCATATGCATTAACCAGAGACCATTTACCAGGAAGATCAAGACCGAAAACATTTAGGTAATTCTTTCCTTTCCAGGCCAAATTTTATTCTTATCTCTGTCCTTAGATTCTAACTTTAGTGGGAATCAAGCAGTTAATCTAAGTAAGTGATTCTAGGCATCCATCCATCATATAACTTTTTAATTCAGAGCTTCCCTGCCTTTTGTCTTTGTTTTTTGTTTTAATAAATTCTAAAAATGGTATCTCCATCTCTACTCTCATAGAGTGCACATGTTAACTTGCTGGCTTTAAAAGATGAGATTGCTAGCAGAGAAGCCACGTGAAATGTCATAATCTTATTTTCCTGCTTTAGGAAACATTTACAAGAAATAGGCGTAATTTATTTTGGGGTATGGAAAGGTCATAAGGATTATCTCCACCAAACACTTATCCTTGCATTTTGTGATGAATAACAAAATGATGATTTCTGTGTGTGTCATAAAACCTGTTTAGTGGGTTGGGAGTTCCAGGAGAATAGAGCTGATAATAATTTCAACTTGTTTTTTCTTACTAATGAAGGAAAACAGTGGCATAGATAATACAAATGGCAGATGTTCGAAAATAACCCCATTTGGCTTTGGAATATACTATGAAACTTTTTAAAATTTTCATTCCTAATTATCTTTTTTCTGTTGTTTTGCTTAATATTCACATTGTCTACATTCCTTAAGGATACAGCAACTGACAGGAGAGACTGAAGAGAGAATAGTCTACAGGGAACTAAAAGTCAGAGAGGAAACAGTTATTTAAAGTGTTTTATGATTATTCCATATGTTTTGTTGTTGTTGTTATTTGTCATCAAGTCACTTCCGACTCTTGTTGACCGCATATGTGCAGAGTAGAACTGTGCTCCATAGGGTTTTCCACACTGTGACTTTTCAGAAGCAGATTGCCAGGCCTGTCTTCTGAGGTGCCTCTGGGTGGGTTCAAACCACCAGCCTTTTGTCTAGTTGTTGAGCGCTTAACAGTTTGCACCACCCAGGGACTCCATATTCCATATATGCATGTATCCAATTGAGATAGGTAATTGAGAATTAGTGGTATACTCAAGTGGGACAAGTTATTGATTTTTTGGGGGACAGTTTGGCTTTTTCTGTTGATTAGTGACATTTGTAATAACCTCATCCTGAGTGACAAAGTACATCTGATTCCCCACAGAATAAGATTCCAGCTTGAGTCCTTTGTGACTATAAAACACATATGTAAAGTACTGAGAAAAAATACATAATTGCTGAAAAGAGGTGCTATAATGCCCTTTACCAAATTGTGTCTTTCTCTCTCTTCCCTCCAATGTCCTTGGCCAAGCAGAACAAGCTGACTGACCTGGAGATCCTCGCACTGCTGATTGCTGCACTAAGCCATGATTTGGATCACCGTGGTGTGAATAACTCTTACATACAACGGTAAGATGTTTTCCCCAGCAAAACAAGAAGATGTTTCCGTTAAATTGCAGGGCTGTAGTTCTTAAAGTAAAAGCCACCGCAGAATTTAGTGGTACAGAGTTTCAGTTGGTCCAAGTCCCATACATACTCTAGTTAGGTTTAAGGAAAATGGAAAAAAATAATGTAAGCCCAATATTGTGTTGGGGAAAAAGTAAAGTTTCTGGCCTGAAGTTAAAAAAAAAATTTATGTTCAGAACTGTATTTCATTAGATAATTACCAGCCATTTTGCTTTAGTCTGTGTAGACCCAGCTAAAGAACTTCATTGGAAAACTATTAACACTAGTTCAGAAAAGGTAGAATTTTACCCTGGAATTGAAAAAATAATATTTGAAAAGTGCTTGGCTTAGTCCTTGGTACTTAGTAAGTGGAGGCTTCTGGTCTCAGTGGAGACAGTATAACACAGTGTTGGGGAACTCAGGCTCTGCAGTCAGACGTGTTCAAATCTTAGCTTTGCCCCACAGTCCTTGTGTGACCTTGAGCAAGATAGCTAATCACCCTATACCTCAATTTTCTGATCTATAAAATGAAGATAATAGTATAACCTACCTCATAGGATTGATGTAAGTTTGAACAGATAGTGCCCATCAGTGTCAAGTTGAATGCTTGGTACGTGTTTAGTGTTACATAGTTGTTGACCTCAGATACTAATGATAATCATACATCATCTGCTCACTGGCTGATACTGGGAGTAAAATACTAACCCTTTAGAGAAGAGTTTCAGGCTCCCATAAGGACCATATTTAAATGACATTTGCAATGACAAAAAGATGATAACACTGACATCACTTTCCATTAAATTTTTGAGCCACTGTGACATGTTTATTTTCTTACAGCAATTTGATGGAAAAGCCTACAGTTTAATAGCAAAATCTCTGTACTACTGAGCATTTTTTTTAAGTGTGCAAGTGATTCAATTAATGGATAAATCTCTTAAGGAAATTCCAGATGTCTGATGTCTTGAGGGAATATCAGAAAGCTCTCTAATCGCATTCCCTTTATCTAAATAAATAGAAAACTCTACGTAAAAATAATTGTAGCAATGCAGCAACCATGTCCACTGCTAACTCTTTGTTGGGAAATGATAGTAGGCTTTTGCCTGAGTGTCATAGATGGGCTCTTTAAAATCTTTAAAATCTAATATTTGGATAACTGACTGGGTGGCTTGTCCTTGTCCCCTGTGCTTTGTCGTGTGATTGTGTTCCTGAGCCTCACATAGACACAGGAAATAATTATGAAAAGCAACATTTACAGAAAAAGATGTATAGCAGAGTCAAGCCACATAGCATGGCCTTCCACAGCCAGCACAGCCTAAAGATCAAAGTAATGGTGTGGTAAGTGTCCCTCTCTACATCAACTGAACGTGATATTATTAGTCTATGGATTATTAGAATATTGATTGTGCTAAGATGCTATATTGCCCTGTTTAGAGTGAAAAAATCACTCATCTATTATTTCCTTTGTTTATTTGAAAATACCCGGAAAAACATCCAGAGAAACGTCATCTTCTCTTCAAAAAAAATGTCCTGGGAAAAAGTCATAGACTGCAAAATCTTGCTTTCACACACACCACAAAGCAGTCTTCTACCAAGTAATAATAACTCTGAAAAACAAATTAAAGCAGTTTCAGAGATTTTTATTTTTTCCTACATCCCCGTGGTTTGAATAGCGGAAACCAAGAATTTTCCAGGGATGATTCTTTTATTCTTTCCTTAGTGGTGAATGATACTTAAAGTAGAATTTTTTCTACCAGAGGACTCTTAGGAGATTAAAAGTACCATGAACATGCCCATATAAAGTACTGATTTCTGAAAAGGTATACTATTTTCAGATCTCACTCAGATATTCAAGCTAATATATGAGGAAAAGTAAAATAATAAAAGAAGGCACAGAAATAAGATGGATACGTCAAAAAGAAACGAGACCCTAATGTGGTTGCAAAGTTAAAAACTGGAATTCTCCTGTCTTGAAAATCTTTTCATAAATACATTTAAAGTGAGATATTCCTTGATTAGGAAGACTATCATTATGGAGGAGTACTGTAAGTATGGCAGCGAAAATATTTGGGGAAAGAGCTCACTGCTCGTGCTTACTTCTCCCACATGGGTTGAAAAAGAAAAGAGAGATTTCAGGTAGGTATTGTAATATTATTTTAAAAATAGGCAGTAATAGGAACAAAATGGCTGAAGTACAGACATCCATTAGAGAAAACACAATTGTAACACTTGGATAGCATAGGGAGATTTCCAGTATTAGGGCTGCAGCCAGTATAAGAAAACGATGGATGCATTTATTTGGTTAGATTCAGGTTTGGTATTTTGTAAGATAATATAGTGAAATTATCCTATATTTTAGACACATGGATAATGGACAGTTACTAGGGCCTTGGCATTTTGCTAGACAACAAGAGAGCTGTAAAAGTATAAAATGTGATTCTAGCCCTCAGGAATATTCATAGTCTCGTAAAACGATAGTGATCAATGCAAAAAAAAAATCTAGTAAGTCCTGAGTTGTGTAATAACATTGACTGTAAATGCTCAGCTGAGAAGGAAATAGGTCAAGACTAGTATAGTCCATCTCCATTGTTAATGGGGGAAGTGAGACTTAAACTGGACCTGAAAAAGTAGGTAGGATTTAGAGAAGAGAAAAGATGAAGATACTCCAGGAACACTATGAGGTGGGCATATTCATAGAATATGAATATGAAGGAAAAATTTGACAATGAGGAGAAAATAATAAATAGGATTAGTAATTAGAAAAGGTAAAATGCTCAAATAAATGTTTGTTTTTAAGATTAAAGAATCAGTAAAATCAGAATAAAAGTATTTTCTAGTGACCTCTGTTAGACTGTGTGTTTGTACTGGGAGAACTTTTCTGTATCATGGTCTTCTCTACTCTCTAACAGAGGAACAGGAGTGAGCTGGAGTTATGGACAGGCCCAATGGAAACAGAGGGCCAAGAGGATCTGAGAGACTCAAAAGGGTAGTAAAGATAGCACAGAGGTTACTCTTTTTAAAGTTCAAACTGAGTAGAGTCTAGTTTAACCAAGAATGAGATATCCCTGGTGAGGCTGGACATCTTGAGAGACTGTAGACCTGAATATGAATAAAGTGCAAATTCAATTACAGTAAAACCTTTGAAAGCTGGAACCTGTGTAAAGCGGAAGCCTGTCAGAGAAGCAAAATTCAGATATTTTCCACTAAATAGAGAGTGTTAGAGAAGTGACTGCACCAAAAGCAGAAAACTTGTGAGACCTGGAAAAACAAGGCAGTCCCATCTATTTCTGGCTCTCACAGGTTTCTCTGTAGTTCTGATGTAACAATTAATAATAGTAGTAGTAGCAATAAATAATAATAATAGAAATTAACCTTTACTATAAAAACTCATTATCGTCACATGAATTCCGACTCATAGCAACCATAAAGGACAGAGTAGAACTGCCTCATAGAATTTCCAAGGCTGTAAACCTTTACGGAAGCAGACTGCCACAGCTTTCTCCTGTAGAGTAGCTGGTGATTTCAAACCACACACCTCTCGGTGAGCAGCCAAGAGCTTTAACCACTACACCACTAGGGCTCCTTTAACATTTACTATAGACCTTTTTATATGCCAGGAACTCATATATACACATACACACACACACACACACACACACACACACACACACACACACAATTAATTCAGTTAATCCTTGCTTATACCACCATGCAGTGCTTATGATGGTTAAGAGCAGACTCTGGAACCAGTCTACCTAGGTGCATCCTGACTCCTCTTAACATATGACGTTGGGCAAGTTATTACCTCTCTATCCCTCTGTTTCCTTCTCTTTTGATGGAATAATGATAGTTCCTACCTCATAGGGTTTTATAAGGGTTAAAGGAGTTTGATAAATGTAAAGTGCTTACTTAGAACAGTACCTGGCACATATTAAGCACTGTACAGGTTTTAGCTATTTTCACAAGGAAATGCTATTAATGACAGATGGGAGTTTAAGATATGGCTTTGTTACATGATGGATCAGGGTGTGGAAAAGCTACTATGGCTAATGCAGGTTCTTGCATTTAGTAGCTGTGGAACAAATGAGTGAGCCCATCACTATTGTTGATGTGAAGAAGAGACAATCAGAGGCATCGTGGTCAAAGAACTGTGAGGGCCAAAGATCAAATGAATCATCAGCTTGAATATCTGTGTCATCAAGTCTGATTAGAAAATAGGAAAAAAAATAAGCCAAGGACTATTTTCTTCCAGGAAGGTAAAATAACCCCTGACTGGTGGTAGAAGAAGACAATAGTGATGCTTTGGAGAGAAATGATGATAAAGAATTAAATAGGGTTGACGTGGGTTACAAAGAAGTAGTAGTTAGAGATTTGCGCCCAGAGCAATATATATAGATGAAAAGCCGAATCAAGGCTTTTCACTGTTAGAATCAGTGAAAAGAGGAAGTCTGAGGGGGTGGAATTGTGTTTCTCACGGGGCTTTCATTTTCTATGGATTTCTAAGACTTTATATTTAAATTTTTTGGAATATTGGTCTGATTTCTGCATAGGCATCCTCATGCACTCTCAGAGATGGACTGACAACTGCAGGACAGAAAGAATATGCAGGGAGAGAATGCCAGTCCATTAATGCTCACATCAGTGTGGGAACAAAATTCTGCAGCAGTAGTGGTTTAAATGGGTTCCTCTGATATAACCTCAAATAAAGAGGCAATGTAGCTTTGTGTGTGAAAAAGTGGACAACAGGATGTAGAATACTCTGGTTTCCATGAATATTTTTGTAAACAGGAAATTTAGGGCATTTGTCACCCTTTTATTGATTCCTAAATCTGTATTTTTAGAACGTTTAACTAAAGGCAAGCACAAAATTTGCATCCATCCCTCTCATAAACCAAGACTTTTCTCTAATGTGAAACAGTCCTTTCTACATCGTCTAAAAATACAGTGTGCGTTTTAAGTTTTAAACATGTTTGTGTTCTGTCCATCTCGTTGCATTTCCTCATGCGTCTCTTAACTAGGTCAGTGAGCATGTGCTGTATGCACAGTGCTATGGCATTGTGAGCCCTGTGATGCAGCAAAGAGGGTATATTTGAACCCCAGCTGTGCCATTTATATTGACCTTAAACAGATTAGATAATCTCTCAGAAATTTTGTTCATCTAAAATATAAATATAATAATGCCAATTTTAGAGAGGTCTCAGACTCGGTTACCCCCAAGGCAGAGCCCAAGACAAAGGCTGACGTGCATGTAGCTTATTTGTGAGCGCGATCCCAGGGAGCAGAGATATAGGACTAGGAGTGAAATGTGGAGGAAGGGAAAGCCCGTACAAGGATGAGTTATATAGCTGTGCTCCCATATGGGCGACTGGTGCTCAATCCTGCTGGGTCCTTTTTTTTTTTGAGGTTTTTTTTTTTTTTATTATTGTACTTTAGGTGAAGGTTTACAGAACAAATAGTTTTTCATTAAACAGTCAGTACACATATTGTTTTATGACATTGGTTAACAACCCCACAACATGTCAACACTCTCCCTTCTTGACCTTTTTTTTTGGTAAAAATATACATAGCCAAAGATACACCATTTCAAAAATTTCTACCTTCACAGTTCAGTGACATCGGTTACGTTCTTCCAGTTGTGCTGCTATTCTCACTTTAGATGAAGGTTTACAGAACAAAATAGTTTCTCATTAAACAGTTAGTACACATGTTGCCCTATGACAATGGTTAACAACCCCTCTTCATGTCAACACTGTCCTTACTGAACCTTGAGTTCCCTATCACCAGCTGTCCTGTCCCCTTCTGCCTTCTAGTCCTTGTCCCGAGACTGCTGTGCCTCAGTCCCATTTTGTTTTATGGGGCTGTCCAATCCCCGGCTGAACGTGAACCTCGGAAGTGACTTCACCACTGAGCTTAAAGGGTGTCTGGGGGCCATACTCTCGGAGTTTCTCCAGTCTCTTTCAGGCCAGTAAATCTGGTCTTTCTGGCGGGTCCTTTTTAGGAGTCTTATGAAATGAGACCCAGAACAGTCTAATGAGAAGACAAAAAGGGAAGCAGTCATCCATAAGCTCCCATGCCCCATTGCTCTAAGGTGACCGCACAGGCCCTAACTCTTCCACACTTCTAGGTTGAAAAGCACGAGTGCAGAGGGAGTTCTGTGGACACCAGCTATGGGGTCAGAGAGCTTCAGGGCAGAAGTGAGAGATATTCAGGGTGGACCAGGGCAAAGCACCTTCTAATTGGCACCTGTGTGAAGTCTGGTAAAGTTTGCATGAAATGGGACACTAACTACATCAATGGCTGGAGTAGGAGATGGGACTGATAGGACTGTGAAGTGGTGAACACAAGGTCCTATACAAGGTTATTGTAAAAATTAAATATAAACCTCATAGCACAGTTATAGGCTCTCAGTAAATGGTAATTATGATCATTGCTGTACTATGTGTTGTAGGCTAAGCACATATTATCACACTTAAGAGGTTTACAATCTTATGGACTGATAGACTTATAAATAGCCAATATCTGGCAGAATAAAGTTGATATTAAACTAATATTGTATGCCACTGAATTTCCTATATAAATGAAAATAACAGATACTTCAGAAGCTTTTCCTTTTACTCTAAGTGAGGAAATGAGAAAGGCTGCAGTTGTTAAATTCAAGTTGACTTAAGCATATCTAGTCTAAGTGATGTGAAAATTGAGCATCCAGAATACTAGGCAGGATTAAAAAAGGGAGATAAATGATTCTCTTTACCCTAAGGTCTCTGTTCTTCTTTTAGGCCATATCACTGGATAATCTCATCAACTCCCATGGCTGGAATAACCATTTGTATGTTGATGCATTCCAAATCCATATTTCCAGCCCAGACCTGAGTTCAGACATTTATATCCACTTGGGTGATCTCAGGCATCTTTAAATCAACAGTTCCGACTAGCCGTCTTCCCCTCCTTCATCCCCCAGCCCTAATCATCTCCCCTTTTTCCTATGTCAGTAAATGCGATTACCATCCCCTAGCTGCCCAAGGCAGAAATTTAGCATTCATACTTGCTCTCTTCATCTCCCTCATCCACACTGTGTCTCCACATCAGGATTCATTGCCAACGCCTATCTAATCTACCTCCTCGACAACTCCCAGGTAACTGCTTCTCTTCACGTCTGTTGCTACCACCCTAATCCAGGCAACCGTTCATTATCTCTTACCTGGATTACCGGAACTGCCTCCCAGTAGTCTCCTAACTAACACCCGCATCTCCAGTCTTGTTTCCAGCAAATTCATCCTTTTCACAGATCTACTCAGGTTATTCCATTCATTGGCTTCACATTGGCCAGCAATAAGCCCAGTACCTGACCCATAGTAAACCAAAAAAACCAAACCAGTTGCTGTTGAGTCGATTCTGCTTCATGGCAAGCCCATGATGTGTGTCAGAGTAAAACTGTGCCCACAGGGTTTTCAATGGCTGATCTTTCAGAAGCAGATCGCCAGGCCTTTCTTCTGTATGTCCTCTGGGTGGACTTGAATCACCAACTTTTTGGTTAATAGCCAAGCCTTAACCATTTATGCCATCCCAGAACTCTAACTTACGACTCATCAAATACGGAAGGAGTAAAGGAGACAAGCAAGCAGGAGTTAATTTTGCTGAAATATAGTGATACTTTAAATACTAGGATTAGCTGAGGTTACCCGTTCTCTTACCTTACTATTCATTTTATTATTTTTGTTTTCACTTAGGCTTCTCTCACTGTATCCATTTTTTCCCGTGTTACATTTCTGCAGTCTTAGCTTCTCTATCTTCAACAAATTAAATGCAAAAATAATGATTAACATAGTAGTATAAAGAAATAAAACACTTATGTTATCCAACATTTATTTGGTGTTTTATAATTCATAAATCCCTGTCCTATAAATTTTAGAAACGGGAACTTTCAGAAACTTTATTTTTCTTTTAAAGAAGAAATAGTGAAAACTGCTTTATAATCACATCTGAGGGGTCATGAGAAATATGAGAGGAGAGGATACTTGTTATGTTTTAGAAAAGTTTCACACACTTACTTTGTGCCTGTCCCATCTATATAATGAACTGATTATAAAATCCCTCCCCTTCTCTCCACCAGGCCAAAAGATTGCTACTGCTTCCCCAAGTTCCACTTAGAGGCTACGGAAATATCCTGCACTGAAAAATCCTGGGTCCTGTGTAGGAAATTTTCTGACTCAGCCATCTCCTTCCTTCCCTTTTCAAAGGGGGCATGTGCACTGACTGTCTCCCTTTTTCTCACCTTCCATCACACACGTCACAGTTAATTCCATCTCAGCCACTTCAGTTCTTATAGGAACCAAACCAAAACCAGACTAGTTGCCATCGAGCCAGTTCTGACTCATGGAGACTCCATGTGTTTCAGAGTAGAGCTCTGCTCCATAGGGTTTTCAAGGCTGTGACATTTCAGAAGCAGATCACCAAGGCTTTCTTTTCTTCCAAGGCATCTCTGGGTGGATTTGAACTGCCAACCTTTTGGTTAGTAGTTGAGCACTTAACCATTTGTGTCACCCAGGGACTACTGTTATTATAGGTAGAACCTTGTGAATAAGCTGACCTTCAGCCTGAGCATTATTTCAGAGTAGAAACTAGCATGTGAATTTGTTTCCAATTTTGAAATCAATTTCAGTTTTGAAACTGAAAAATATTATTTGTACAACGATCTCAGGAATTTTTTTTAATTTTTTTTTTTTTTTTTTGCTTTATTGCTTAGAGAAATTAGCTATTTTTTGTCCTCATTCTTTCTACTATTTTAGTTAATTTAAAAAACTAATAAAATTGTTCCCATATTGAACCAGCAACAGTTACATCGGTATTTGGCTCTTTGATTATATTCAATTTCTGGCCATAAACCTACCCTTTTTTCCACAGAGGGAGAGAAAATTGTTAGTTTTATTAATTTGGTAAAATTAATCTTAAAAAAGCCTCTTTTAGGTAACCAATAAAAAGAATCATAAATTGATAAACTGCTTTATATTGGAAAAATTTTTTTTTTTTTTTTTTTACTTAATTTCTTCAAAACAATATTTTTCAGAAGCGAACACCCACTGGCTCAACTCTACTGTCATTCCATCATGGAACACCATCATTTTGACCAGTGCCTGATGATTCTTAATAGTCCAGTAAGTACCTAATTTATGGTTATGGAATTTTAAAATAGAGCTTTATGAATTCAGTTTTATTTTTAGGTTTTGGATTTGTTCCCAGCATCATAAATTCTTGAACATACTTTATCCCTTTTTGGGTAAGGAAGGCAAAGCCAAAACATTTGAGATCCTCACAGCCTCACTGCACTAGACAGCTGGAACTGTCCAAACGTTGCCTCATGTTATGAAATGAATTGGTCCCCCAAAACTATGTGTTGTAATTCCTAACCTCTATGCCTGTGGTTATAATCCTATTTGGGAATAAATTGTCTTTGTTATGTTAATGAGGCAGGATTAGTGTAGGGTGTATCCTGAGTCAATCTCTTTTGATGTATAAAAGAGATTAAACACAAGCTAGCAAGCAGAGACAGGGAAAGAGAAATGCCAAGACACATGAAGATTGTCCAGGAGCAGAAGCTCAAAGAGACAAAGACCATTCTCCAGAGCCAACAGAGAAAGAAAGCTTTCCCCTAGAGCAGGCACCCTGAATTTGGACTTCTGGCCTCCTAAACTGTGAGAAAATAAATTGTTAAAACTGCCTATTTGTGGTATTTCTGTTATAGCAGCTCTAAATAACTGACATCTGATAAGGGAAATTTGGTTACTCAACTAAATTTGGTTTGGTTACTCCAAATCAGAAACAAACAATACTGGTATTTTTGTGGCTCTCAGCTGATTCTTCTCTCCCTTCATCCCAAATAAACTAGTTTATACAGATCTAGGATTTGCTTTCACAAGACAATGCCTGTTCCTCTTTTTATTGAAACTTCTAATCACTAGCAAACTATTTTGGTAAGGAAAAAAGCCATTTATATATATATATACACATATATGTATATATGTGTATGTATATATATATTCAGTTTTATTTTTAGGTTTTGGATTTGTTCCCAACATCATAAATTCTTAAATATACTTTATACACACACACACACACACACACACACACACACACACATACCCACACATATATATATGCTGTTGTACCATTAGGTTAAGTGAAAATTTTATCAATGTAAGAAAACATATAGGCTATGTTAAGCATATTTATGCTAAATAAAATAATATACACCAGCATGCTAATAATAGTTGTCTTTGTCTAGTAAAATTATAAATAATTTTTATATTCTTATTTTGGTTTGAAATATTTTGGTTTATCTATTACTCATGTTGTCTAATGTGTGCATGTATTACCTTTAAAATAACAAAAAATAATGAAAGTTGTAACTGTTACTTTGAATGAGCACAGTGCATGGGATGTAATCATAAAAGAGTTGTATCACTCTCTATTTAAGTTTGCTCAGTAGGGCTCTTTCTTCCATGGCCTCTGGAAGGAAACTCAGGGAAACCCATAACTTTTTCTGGGCCCTGGTGGTGCAGTGGTTAAGAGCTCAGCTGCTAACCAAAAGGTCAGCAGGTCAAATCCACCAGCTGCTCCTTGGAAACCCCATGGGGCAATTCTGCTTTGTCCTATAGGGTCGCTATGAGTCAGAATCAACTTGACTGCAACAGGTTTTTTCTTTTGTAATAAAAGGCCCTCTAGTTACTTTAAGTCTCAATATATAGGATATAATTCTCAATTCAGAAATGCAAAATTTTTGCATGTGCAGCTTTTTCCATTCTATTGTAAAAATATTAAATATGGGCCGAAAATCAAGAAATCAAACGATGTATTGCATTGGGCAAATCTGCTGCAAAAGACCTCTTTAAAGTGTTAAAAAGCAAAAATGTCACCTTGAGGACTAAAGTGCCCGACCCAAGCCATGGTATTTTCAGTCACCTCATATGCATGCGAAAGTTGGACAATGAATAAGGAAGACTGAAGAAGAATTGATGCCTTTGAATTATGGTGTTGGCAAAGAATATTGACTATACCATGGACTGCCAGAAGAATGGAACTAATCTGTCTTAGGAGAAGTATAGCCAGAATGCTCCTTAGAAGGGAGGATGGTGAGACTTCGTCTTATGTACTTTTGAGATGTTATCAGGAGGGACCAGTCCTTGGAGAAGGACATCATGCTTGGTAAAGTAGAGGGTCAGCAAAAAAAAAGGAAGACACTCAATGAGGTGGATTTACACGGTGGCTGCAACAATGGGCTCAAACATAATAATGATTGTGAGGATGGTGCAGGACTGGGCAGTGTTTCATTCTGCTGTACATAGGGTCGCTATGAGTCGAAATCGACTCGACGGCACCCAACAACAACAACAAAATATGGGCACTTGCTTCTGAGGCTCTTTGCCCTGCTTTTGACTGCTCTAGGCATGTAGCAGGTTTCTCTTCCTTCAGTGCCCACCTTGATAGCAACCCCACTGTCTGAGAGATCCGGTTCCATTTGCATTGTCTTGGCCTACACCAACCAGCTTTTCCACTTGATGGTATTCGTGCATCTTTAATATCCTCAAAACCAGCCTCCAGACCTGTCGAGTTACCTCCACCCACCCACTGCCATCGAGTTGATTCTGGCTCACAGTGACCTTGTAGGACAGAGTAGAACTGCCTCATAGGGTTTCCAAGGCTATAAATCTCTGGAAGCAGACTACCACATCTCTCTCATGGTGGAGCTGCTGGTGGTTTCAAACCACCGACCTTTTGGTTAGTTGAACGCTTTAACCGCTGGACCACCAGGGCTACTCAGGTTACCTCCAGAGGTACCAACTCTTGATTTGGTTTGTGGTCTGGTTAGAAAGTTGCACAGGTTTGAGGGGTCTGCCACAACACTGTTTGTCCCATAAACCATGTTGTTTTTACTTTGCAGTTTTTCAAAACTGAGACTTTTCAGGAACATGTATGCATGTTATAGCAGAAACATCTGTAGTTCCCTTGCGATTTGCTATCTGTGTGCTTCAGCTAAAACTTTCATTTTAATATCTTGTTACAAATTCAGTTTTTAAAGAAAGAAAATATGCTGACCTTTTTTTTTTTCAAAAGCAGATTTAACAGTATTCAAATCATAGCTGCCCCTGTTATTACATAAATTATTACGTAATATCTGATTACTTAACATAACATATAAAGAATCTGGTTTGCATATATAACTGACCTCAGACTATAAGACCCACTTATGTATTCTGTCCTTGTAAGCACCATTCTTGTGTAGAAATTACAGCCTCCACTTTGGGGAGTAGAAATAAGAATATGGCACTAAAAGACAGTTCCTTTTCCACATGGATTGTTTTATCTTGTATTATTTATCAGAAGATATTTTCTGAATAGTTTTCTGTAAGGCCCAGAACCTAAAATGGTTTAATATGTAAAAATAATGCTTATGGTTGTAATTACAGATTTTTGTCATTAATTAAATATGTGCCTCAGTTTCACATCTAGTTAACCTCTAACCAAACTGTTTTGGCCCCGGTCTAAAACACTCAGTAGTTCCCCTATGTTCACAACAAAGCCTTTGCCTCCAGGTCCCCTTCTTAAGCCTCTCAGCTTTTTCTCAGCCCTGAGATTTCAGAAGTATATCTGACTCAATGTACAGATGTTGTCTTGAGGATATTCTGAATACCTGAGGTGTGTGTTTAACCCAGTTCAAGATAAGACAGCTTACTATTCTTTAAATGGGAGTCCCTGGGTTGTGCAAACAGTTGATGTGCTTGGTTGCTAACCGAAAGGTTGGCAATTATAGTCCACCCAGAGGTGCCGTGGAAGAAAGGCCTGGTGATCTACTTCCAAAAAAAGTAGTCACTGAAAACCCTGTGGAGTGCAGTTCTACTATGACACACATGGGGTCGCCATAAGTCAGAATCCACTCAATGGCAACTGGTAATGCTTTAACTTACAGACAAGAAATAAAAAATGGTTATGCAGAAAAAACGTTCATTGATTTGCACATGTGTAGCCACCTTTAAAACATTCCTTATGGATGTTTCAACCCATGTTTTCTTTAGACCACCAGTAAGCACAACTTTAGCTCATGTCTTCTACCCATCTGTATTGATATGTTTCTAAAGAATATACACTATTAGCAATATTGATTCCACCCAAAACCCTTTGCCGTTGAGTCGATTCCGACTTAGCAACGCTATAGGACAGAGTAGAACTTCCCTATAGGGTTTCCAGACCCACTGCGGTTGGTCTATTCTGACTCAGAGTGACACTATAGGACAGAGTAGAACTTCCCTACAGGTTTTCCAAGGAGTGGCTGGTGGGTTCAAACTGCTGACTTTTTTTTTTTTTTTTTTTTTTGGTTAGCAGTTGTAGCACTTAACCACAATGCCACCAGGGCTCCCAGTATTGATTAGGTTAAATATATATAAAAAGGCACCAAAAATGTTATTGTTTATTACAAAAGCCATAGAGAAATAACTTTTTAATAATCGATTGTTTGAAAAGCTCACTGCATGCCTTTTCATGTCCATTAATATGGCTTTGGCTTTTAAGAGTTACACTTGCTGTTAGATTATAGCAATTAACCTGCCCAAAGGAAAATGATACATAGCTATTAGATTTTAGGTCTGGATTAAGGCTTGAAGGGTATAAGAGTTGGAAAAGCATGCATACGTAGGTAGTTATACTATTGTGAAGCTGTTTTCTCTTATATGATAAGGCATGGGGGTTAGGGGCATAGATGGGGAACATTATTTCATGGTATTTAAGTAAGCAAGTGTCCTCTGTATTCATGAGTTTAGAATACTGGGCATGTTTTTAAGGTATGTGACTATATTTTCAGATTTTGTTCTTGCCATCTTAATGCTGCATTTTCTGGCAACTTGTCAGCCGCTTCTCCAAATGGAGTGCTAATGATGGTTTTCTTTTTCCATAAAGGGGAATCAGATCCTCAGTGGCCTCTCCATTGAAGAATATAAGACCACGTTGAAAATAATCAAGCAAGCTATTTTAGCTACAGACCTAGCACTGTACATTAAGTAAGTTACCCTGAGATCAATGCATAAGTCTTGGAAGTGTTAGCATCATCTCAAACTTTTGAAATCCACATTGGGGACTTTTTAGATTATAAGGGCAAATTATCCTGGCAAAGCTGTTTATCAGACTTTGGATCAGTTTCTTCAAAAAAGCCAGAAACACCTACTCCTTTGGCTTCCTTAATGCTAAAAATTACAGAATACCCAGTGATTTCTGATGTTTATCCACTGCTGTGTCCCTGGAGCCATGTACAGAGCAAACAGTCATCTCAAGGTCATTCCAAGCCAGGTTGTCCAATCTAAAGATTATATAGGCCATTTGTTTTACTTCCTTATCCTTACTCCACTAACTTCATACCATGTCATAATTCCTTTATGCTGTCATCCAAGCCTAGGTAAGCATAAAAAGGAACTGAAAACTAAACAAGTAACTCTTGTTTCTTTTTTCTGTAATTTTCTTAAGTTTTATTGTAGAGCTTTGAAGTTACCGATTCAAAAATTAGGGTGCGCATTCGAGTGACATACACATTTTCATAATTAATTTGCCTTTCTAAAAGTTAGAAAATACTTTCCTGCATCTGGGCAACTGTTACTTTCCAACCCATCTACTGAGAACTTTGGTGCATGTAGGGGGTGAGGGGAGTCAAGGGCTCACACTCTTGGGATTCCCCATACACAGATCTCTCTCTGTGTACAGGGATTCATGGCCAGGATTTTAGCCACTCTTCTGAGAAGTTAGAACAAACTCACAGAAACATTTTTTACCCTATGGGGTTTGTATAAAATGATGCATTAGACTGTACCAGACATCCACTATTGTGTTTTCCAAAAGTAAACTGCATGTCTCAGCTTCATTGAATTTTGGAGCACTCGAAGATTAATTAGAATAAATGAAAATATAGTAAACCTCAGTTTATTCAGTATGATAGTAGAATAAGGATTCCAATAATTTGAAAAATACCTCTAACCACATCTCCTCCATCACCTTTCCAGGCCACCTGGGCCTCTCCGCTGAATCTTTGTGAGACCTAGCACAATACTCCATTTTTGATACCTAATCACTGGTAGTACAGTGGTCAGGCACTAGGCCGCCACCTGAAAGGTCAGCGGTTCAAACCCACCAGCCATTCCACGGGACAAAGATCTGGCAGCCTACTTCCATAAAGATTACAGCCTTGGAAACCTTATGGGGCAGTTCTGTTCTGTCCTACAGGTTCGCTATGAGTTGGAATCAACTTGATGGTGGTGGGTTTGGTTTTTTGGTTTTAATCATGTACAGTCAGTTTTGTTACGTAAGTTTTTCTTATTATGTTTGTCTTGAATCCCCAGCTAGATTTTAAATACTATGAAAAGAACAGTTCTGTCTTACGACTTCCCAGGATACTTAACAAATACTGGGCACATAGGACCATTAACTCTACTCTGAATGAATATTATTTTAAACTTTACCTGGTCTTTCTTTGCTTCAGAGCCCCTAACAACTTTATACTGATAGGGTTGTTATTGTAAATGTTTTTTACCCTATACTATGATATATATGAGTAAGATATATGAAGTTAAATTGAAACCATAGAGATCTTAGTATGCCATGCACTTAAAATTTCTTAAGTAATTCTTGGCATCAAATGTTAACTCATTTTTTTTAATTTTCTTGAAATAAATGATGTTCACCAGTGTCATTAAACAGTATGTGTACTGACTGTTTAATGAGAAACTATTTGTTCTGTAAACCTTCATCTAAAGTACAGTAAAAATTAAAAAGAAAGATAAAAAAATATTGTTCAAGAAATAAAATTACCATTGTTTGAGCTCCGTAGTTAGTATGTCAGGTTTTATATTTCACCCAAAGAAAACGATAGAAAGGGGAAAAAGTGAGGTACTAAAGATTTTTAAATGATTTTTATATTGGGTTCTAAGATGGGAAAAAAATTGCTAGAGATTTTTTTCCTCCAGATTTACTCCATGAGTCTTTGTAGACCAAAGTCATGAGAGCCTGGGGAATCATCATAACTACCAAATATTTTCCTTTATTTTCAAGGAGGCGAGGAGAATTTTTTGAACTTATAAGAAAAAATCAATTCAATTTGGAAGATCCTCATCAAAAGGAGTTATTTTTGTAAGTAGGTTTACTGTCCTTAAAGCTGAAGTTTTACTACCCAATTAATTTTCTCTCTATCAGTTTTGATTGCAATTATTGTTACAAGACGAAGACTTCAGAAGTTGCCAGAATTCTCCAGAGAGCTGAACCAAGGGCTGAATATGAATATTTATTTGAAAAGAAATATATTTGTGAATTCAAGTGAATAAATTGCTCCTTTATTCTAGAAGGACCTTTAAAATATGGTAGAATATCAATACAGGGCTACAGGGCTCTATTAGTTTTCCCAATTCTTCAGAATGGAAGAGCTGAAAATAGCATTCTAAAGATGGTGGGAACGTGAAGGGGGCTACAAAACGTTCACTTTTTTGAAAGATGGCAGAGCCATGCTGTCAGAACTGGAGCCCTGCAGGATTTCTCTTTGTCCTCACCAGTACCCTGGCCCTCCCTTCTAGCTGTATATACCATCCTTCACTGTTACTCCCTTTGCCATGGCATGAACTAGATCAATGAAAAGGAACCAGAGAGTCAGTAATAACGAAAAGTAAGACAGAGCAGTACGAAGGATGACGCTAATACAATTTTGAAATCAACATTTCTTTAAATAGATTCATATTACTTAGTATGTGAATGAAGATGTGAATTATGGGAAAACATACCAATACCCAGCTGTCTATTCTATATGGTCATGTTTCACTTAAATAGTCTCAACATGTTTTTCAGAATAGTGCTTTAAAAAGATACGGACATGCTACTCTGACTAGTGAATGATTTTAACAAAATGAAATAGAACCTCAACTCCAAGTCTGTGCCACAGGCTCCTTGTTTCACCCTCCTTGAGAAGCTATAACCCCCACAGAGAAGGACTCAGGATCTGGTGCTCAGCATGCCCTTTGGCACCCTTCATTTCAGACTGTAGTTAAGCTCATAGGGGCAGTGGTGGTTCAGTGGTAGAAGTCTTGCCTTCCATTCCAGAGACCCAGGTTCAATTCCTAGCCTGTGCACCCCATGCACTCCCTCCATCCGTCAGTGGAGGCTTGTCTGTTGCTGTGATGCTGAACAGGTTTCAGCGGAGCTTCCAGGCTAAGACAGACTAGGAAGAAAGACCTGATGATCTAGTTCCAAAAAGCAGCCAGTGAAAACCCTATGTGTCACAAGAGTTAGATCTCTAACTGATCATGGGCATGGACTAGAACCGGACAGCATTTTGTTCCACTTTGCATGGGGTGGGGTTGCCATGAGTCACAGGCTGGCTCTATGGCAGCTAACAACAAGTTAAGCTCATACAGGTGCATAGTCTTCTTTGAGGGAGTCCATTTGTATTGGCAAGTATTATTGAAGTCCTTCATGAAAATGGGTTCAAACAGTGATTAAAAATATTGCTGGTGACCATGGTCTCAGGAAACATCTAGCTCAATTGGCATAACACAGTTTATAAAGACAATGTTCTACATTCTACCTTGGTGAGTAGCGTCTGGGGTCTTAAAAGCCTGTAAGCAGCCATCTAAGATACTCCACTGGTCTCATCCCTTCGGGAGCAAGCGAGAATGAAGAGAACAGGATACAAGGAAAAGATTAGTCCAAAGGACTAATGGACCACAGCTACCAAGGCTTCCACCAGACTGAGTCCAGTACAGCTAGATGGTGCCCGGCTACCACCACTGACTGCTCTGACCAGGATCACAACAGAGGGTTCTGGACAGAGCTGGAGAAGGATGTAGAACACAATTCTAACTCACAAAAAAAAAAGACCAGATTTACTGGCCTAAAGGAGAGTGGAGAAACCCTGAGAGTATGGCCCCCAGACACCCTTTTAGCTCAGTGGTGAAGTCATTTCCGAGGTTCACTGTTCAGCCGGGGAGTGGACAGCCCCATAAAACCAAATGGGACTAATGAGGCACAGCAGTCCAGGGACAAGGTCCAGAAGGCAGAAGGGGACAGGAAAGCTGGTGACAGGGAACCCAAGGTTGAGTAAGGATAGTGTTGATGTGTTGTGAGGTTGTTAACCATTGTCATAGGGCAACATGTGTACTAACTGTTAAATGAGAAACTATTTTGTTCTGTAAGCCTTCATCTAAAGTGAGAATAGCCGCACAATTGGAAGAGTGTAGTCGATGTCACTGAACTGTGCAGGTAGAAATTTTTGAAATGGTGTATCTTTGGCTATGTATATTTTCACCAAAAAAAAAAAAGGTTGAGAAGGGAGAGGGTTGACATGTTGTGGGGTTGTTAACCAATGTCATAAAACAATATGTGTACTACTGTTTCATGAGAAACTATTTGTTCTGTAAGCCTTTACCTGAAGTACAATAAAAAAAAAAATTGCTGGTGTACTCATTTCTTCAGAGAGAGTCAGTGTAAAAGACAGCATAGCAGTAGAATCATTTCCATTTTCTTTATGGCCTTGTATAGATAGGAGAGTATGGATTTCCCTAGAGGAACACTTGATACAGTCTTTTGCCTGGAGTGTTTTTGTATTACAGTAATGACCTTTTGGCCTATTTCTTCAAACATACTAAAGGGATCATATGGTATTTGGATCTGACATGGGAAAACACTGCACAAGAGAGAGAACCATTTTCATACAATGGTTGTGGTATTACGTGCTAGAGCACCTTGTCACAGGCTCCAGAGCCTGCCATGATTTTTACTTTTCTTTTAAGAGAAAGACTAAAAAGCACCATGCTTGCCCTCATTTCTTTTTCTCTGGCAAAGGCTATTTAATTTTTCAAAGGCTTGTAACATGGAAGTCACTACATGTGTTGAGTGGATTAGAATGACCCACCATAACCCTTTCTGTTATAGGACTTTTATCAGTAGGATATCTTCAGTGGTTAATTATTAGTAATCAATATGCTTTCATCATACTGAGAATGGGATACCAAGGTTTAAAAAAATCATAGTAGCAGGCATGTTTTTGCCCACAGGTTAATAATTTCTCTTTGTGCCAGTCTGGAAATAAACGAGGCAGTTTGAGGGCAAATTCCAGTAGTTCACAGGGTAACCCGAACAATACCACTCTTTTATGGCAGCATCAGTCAGGCTTCTGTGTGAATTCTGTTTTTATTTCGTTAGTCTTCATACATTGCCACTACCATTGTTTAGAGGGTTTTAATTTAACTTTTTATTAGCGACTGTTTACTGAGGTTTTATATTCACATAAAAGTAAATAGGAATGTTGGATTTCTTTTTCCTGTTAACAGAGCGATGCTGATGACAGCTTGTGATCTTTCTGCAATAACAAAGCCCTGGCCCATTCAACAACGGGTATGTTGCTTGGTGACAATTTAAGTATTAATTAAAAAGGCAAAATAAGAGAAGTCTTGACTCTTAAAGGCAGCTTCTATAGTAGCTTAAGTATTTATGGAAATTTTTTTTTTAATTTTTAAGTAGTATTAAAAGCAGATAATGGGACATAAACAGGTTTTCCTTTTTTAGAAGATTCATTTGCACTTAACAATATTTGCAAAATACATTAACACAGCAAAGGCCTAGCTATTGGTAAGATTTAATTCCAATACTACTTCTGGCTCACTTTGGGATTTTTTTAAAAAACATCCTTTTAATAACTTTGAAAATCAGGAGAAACAAAATTATTTTTCTTGTCATTAGCCTGCTAGGCTATACAGAGCCTAGTAATATATCCTTCTCTCTAAATATGTAACTTAGAATGTTTTGCAGAGGCATTAAAGACTGTAGGCTCAGAAAAGTCATGGGTATACGTGCAGTGATGTATATATTGTGTTTTTGGTTTTTGAGATTGCATTTTGAATCCTTAATGCACTAAGATTATTGACAGTTTGCTGTGTGTTATGCCCTGGGCTGCACCGTCATTGAGCCCAGCAATTACAGGCTCAATTCCATGAAAAACACGTGCTGAGAAAGCAGGATCAAAAACTCACTCTCCATGTGCCAACACAGATGTTCAACTAAGCACCCAGAAAAGGTGGTATTTTGGTATTTACATACCTCCCTGCCCAATAATAAATAGGACTGTATGCCTATATGGAGCCCTGGTAGCATAGTGGTTAAGAGCTCAGCTGCTAACCAAAAAAGTCGGCAGTTCAAATCTACTAGTTGCTCCTTAGAAACCCTACGGGGCAGTTCTACTCTATCCTGTAGGATCACTGTGAGTCGGAATTGACTCGATGGCGACGGGTTTTTTTGGTTTGATATGCCTATATAAGGAGCCCTGGTGGCACAGTGGTTAAGCGCTTGGCTGCTAACTGAAAGGTTGTCAGTTCGAACCCACCCAGAGGCTCCACAAAAGAAAGACCTGGCAGTCTGCTTCTATAAAGATTTAAAAAACCAAAACCAAACCCATTGCGATTGAGTCAATTCCAACTCACAGCGACCCTACAGGACAGTGTAGAACTGCCCCATAGGGTTTCCAAGGAGCACTTGGTAGATTTGAACTGCCCACCTTTTGGTTAACAGCTGAGCTCTTAACCACTGTGCCACCAGGGCTCCAGCCTAGAAAATCCTATGGGGCAGTTCTACTCTGTCACATGGGGTCGCTGTAAGTCAAAATCAACTCAATGCCACCTTACAACAGCAACAATATGCCTATGTGGAATAGGGAGGGATGTTTCATTTAACCTTTCTTCTGACTCAAACCCTTCTACCTGTTGTTTTGTGGGGAGAAATAAATGAAGGAAGAGAAGGTTTTTTTGTTTGTTTTGTTTTGTTTTAAAGGAAAATGTTGGAGGCTATTGAGGAGAGATTTTCAGAAGCTAGGAAGAGTATAGTGAGAGAGAAGGCTTTGGACATGGACAACTTAAGTTCAAATCCCATGCTGCTACTTATTAGCTATGTATCCTTGTGCAAGTTACTTCATCTTTAGACTTTAATTTCTTCATCTGTAAAATGGAAACGTATGCCACATAAGATTGTTGTGAGGTTTAAATTATTTAATACTGTGTGCCTTAAAAAAAACCAAAGCCATTGCCATTGAGTCAGTTCTGACTCATAGCAACCCTATAGGACAGAGTAGAACTGCCTCATAGTATTTCCAAAGCTGTAATCTTTGCAAAAGCAGACTGCCACATCTTTCTCCCATGGAACAGCTGGTGGGTTTGAACTGCCAACCTTTTGGTTCACAGCTGAGTGCTTAACCACTGCGCTACCAGGGCTCCTTACTGCGAACATAGTAAATGGTTTTTAAATGTTTACTACTATTCCTACTCTGCTGATGCTGCTGATGATAATGAAGCCCTAAGGGACTGTCTTTTCTTTCTCATCACAGGCAGCACTCATTCGTTGGATCTTCACTGGATCCTTATTCTTTCTTAATATATTTGATTCCATCACTAATTTCAGAATGACTTAAAGTACTGAGATTACGAAGAGTGGTTTCCACTGTTAGAACTAAGAAAAAAAAAATCATATTATCATACCATAAATATAGCAATGACATTTGTCAAAATGTAATAGCCATTCATGTTAAAAAAAAACACTACTCAAAATAATAAAATAAATATGCATACTTCATTGTAAAAAATAAAAATAAAAACTTTGTGTTAGAGATATTAGCTAATACAGACAAGTGAAAGCAATTAGAGGTATAAGAATTAGAAAGCAAGAAGTAAAACTATCTCAATGTGCAGATAAAATGAGTGTGTATTTGCAAAACCCAAAATACACAATGAAAAACTATTACAAGCAATAAAAGAATTTAATAAAGTATCAGGTTATGAAATAAATCTACAAAATTTAATAACCTTCATATAAAGAAAGAAAAACCAATTAGAAGATGAAATGGAAGGAAAGGCTATTTATGACAAAAAAATAAAATATTTATTCAGTTGTTGTCTTAGTTACCTAGTGCTGCTGTAACAGAAATAAAGGTGGGTGGCTTTAGCAAACAGAAATTTGTTTTCTCACAGTTTAGGAGGCTAGAAGTCCAAATTCAGAGTGCTGGCTCTAGAGGAAGGCTTTCTCTCCCTGTTGGCTCTGGAGGAAAGTCCTTGTCTCTTTGGCTTCTGCTTCCTGGTTTCTTGGAGATCTCCATGTGTCTTGGCATCTATCTTACCCCATCTCTGTCGATTGTTTAATCTCTTTTTATGTCTCGAAAGAATTTGACTCAAGATACACCCTATACCAATCTTGCCTTATTAACGTAACAAAAATAACCCATTCCCAAATGGGATTATAACCACAGGCATAGAGGTTAGAATTTACAACACATATTTTGGGGGAGACATAATTCAATCTATATCAGTTGTAAACTTAAAAAATACCTAAAAACTATATGAGGAAAGTTATAAAACACAGCTAAAGCACAAAAGCAGACTGAGGTTAATGGAAAGATATACCATGTTCTTAGAAAAACTTGTTCAGAAGTTTAAGAACATAACTCTGTTGGAGAAACTGTGGGAAAACAAGGAATGCAAAATATTACAATCCTTTGAAAGTTTACAAATACACATATGCGTTTACGATTACTTCTAGGAATCTTATCCCAAAGATATACTGGCAAGAATATAAAAAGATATTTAGAAAAGGCTATTTGTTTTAGCACTGTTTATAATAGCAAAGACTGGAAATACCCCAAATATTTGTCAGTAGGGTATTGATTGAATAAACTATAGTACATTGACACAATGCAACTATAAAAAAGAAATGAGGATTATCTCTATACTGTTATGGAGTGATCACCAAGATATATATTTTAAGTGAACGAAAGCAAGGTAGAGAAAGATGTGTGTGGTATGCTACCATTTATCTAAGAAAGGGGTGAAATATGAATGTATGTACATGTTTGCTTGTATTAACCAAAAAAAGTTGATGGTTTCCTATAGAGGAGGGAGGGAAGAAGATTGAGGGAACAGAGATAGAAGCTACCTTGAGTTTTTGTAGATTAGACTTTGGAATCATGTAAATAGTTTTCATAATTATAAAATTAAACTAAATAAATAAATAAATCAGTCACTTCACCTTGAAAGTAAAATGAAACAAACTGGTTGCAAAGCCACACAGAGAGAAACTCTTTCATTCCAACCAAAATTAAAACACGGTAATGTGGCCATATAGCTTTAGTGAGATGTATCCTAAGAACCAAAAAAAAAAAACAATACACACACACAAATCTCAAACTGTTTTTAGTAATCATACTGTTAGTGGTAATTTTGTATCAATATTCAGTCACTGTTGTGGGTGATGTAAGATGAAATAAAAAAAAATTATACTGGTATTGTTGAAAACTAAGATTTTCAGCATGACTGAAAGGATAAAGATCTAAGATGGATGAGTTTACATAGAAACGCCGTAGTCCTAAATTTGAACTGGAAGTATTGTATGAAATTATGTTGTATCCTAGCTCTTTTCCCTGAAAAGACTTAAAAATAATGTCCAACCCAGCAACAGTGAATATAGCTAGTGCCCATGCTGAAGTTCTAAATACTACAATTTAAAGAAAGCAAGTCTCCGTGAAGAAGTGGCTGATTCCAGCTCTAGAGCAGGAGATGTACAAGATGCGCCTAGAGTTTCTTTTATGCCAGAAAACAAGGAAGCTATCAAAGACTAATAGGGTCCTGGCAAAGGAACTCGGCAACCAACTTAATAAGCTCCTATTGACCAAAGATGGGACAATTCGAGCATCAGTAAGGATTGAAATATGTCCAATATGTTTTAAAATAATAATAGTAAAATCATCCATGTCCATCTTTGTTGGAGCTTGAGAACCAACTTATCTTTAAAAGTGGTAAATAAAGGGGAGAAAATCAAGCATTTCTCCTGCTTTTCTTTTTTTTTTTAATTCAGTTTTTTTTTTATTGTTGTTGGAAGTATGCACAGGAAAACATACACTAGTTCAACAGTTTCTACATGTACAATTCAGTGCCATTGATTACATTGTTCAAGATGTGCAGCCACTCTCTCCAACCTTTACTGAGTTGTCCCTCCCCCATTAACATGAACTCACTGTCCCCTAAGCTTCCTATCTGACCTTTGCAGATGCTGTTGTCAGATTGCTCCCATATAGGTAGTTCTTCAAAGGAGCACAGTGTTCAAGGCAAACATTCTCAACTAAATAAACCAACTTACTGATCGGTTTAAAGAAGACTTCATAGGATATTTTTGATTTAAGGTTTAAAGATTATCTCAGGGCAACAGTTTTAGAGGTTCATCCAGCATCAGTGGCTCCAGAAAATCTGGACTCTATGAGAATTTGGAGTTCTGAGAACCTTAAAATCAAGGCTTCGAACCGGTTTGGAATGGTTCAGGACCGGTTCAGTAATTACCAACATAAACACAGGCAGTGAACATGTTGCATAGCAACCAAATCTGTTGCCAGTTAGTTTTTTTTTTAAACATTTTATTGTTGTTTAGGTGATGCTTTTCTTATATAAATTATGCCTTAGGGTAACCAAATAGTTGATCCAGGAAAGTTTCTGTTTATTATATTCCAACTAATAAAGGAATGACAAATTTCTATGTCACCCTTTTGCAAACCCTAAATTAATGGATTGAGGCAAAGATTATTATTGGGTGTCGCAAACAGTTAAGTAAACACTCAAAAGGTTGGCAGTTTGAATCCACTCAGAAGAAAGCCCTGGCTATGTACTTCCAAAAGATCACAGCCATTGAAAACCCTATGTAGCCATGCTACTCTGACACGTGGGGTCACCGTGAATTAGAATCGACTTGGCAGCAGCTAATGGTGGTGGATAGCACAAAGTAGTCCGTGGGTGGTGCTAACAGAAAGGTTGGAAGTTTGAGTCCACCCAGAGTCACCTGGGAAGAAAGGCCTGGCGATCTGCTTACAAAAAAATCAGCCACCAAAAATCTATGGAGCACCATTCTACTCTGATACACATGGGGTTCCCATGAGTCAGAATCAACTCGATGGCAACTGGTTTTGTTGTTGTTGATATCTCAAAAAAGAGAGCCAGCCAAGCAGTATATGTATATGTATATATACACCCCCTGATGAAAGTATACAATACAGCCTGTGAAGTAGTCATGCAAAAAAACAAAAAAACCTCAACCTAATCAAGCTTCTAGATCTCACTTTCAGTTTATGGAAATACAAGATACAGAGGAACGTATTAAATGACATCACAGGGGTGCAATCAGCAAATCTAGACTATGGGAAACTTTGCAGAATAAACAACCTAGTTTATTCACAGCAACCAAAATATAAGGTCCTGTTTGATACTGTGTTTTTTTACAACACCTTGTATACCAGGCACTTAATAAATATTTCATTGATTATGTATACAAATGAGCATAAGGTACTTTTTCCCCACTCAGTGCTGAAGTTGAAATAGCATGTTGCTTTTTCTGCTAGTTACAGAAGATTACAAACTATACCCTTTGTGGTGATTAAAACCCATTGTCGGTTCTAACTCATAGCAACCCTCAGGGACAGAGTAGAACTGCCCCATAGGGTTTCCAAGGAGCAGCTGGTGGATTCGAACTGCCAACCTTCTGGTTAGCAGCCAAGCTCCTTAACCACTGTGCCGCCAGGGCTCCTTGTGGTGATTAGTTACACATTTAAAATAAATGATATGTAATTTATATTACTCATTATTTCTTTATTCTAATTTTATTGATGTGGTTGAAAACTACAGAGTTAATTGATTTTCTTATCTTCGTTCAAAATCTGTGTTTTAGACAGTGATATTTTTTAACTGCCAAAACTCAGTCTGTTATTTATTTCAGATAGCAGAACTTGTAGCGACTGAATTTTTTGACCAAGGAGACAGAGAAAGAAAAGAACTCAACATAGAGCCCACTGTAAGTATGATACCTTATGGTAGGAATTATTCAAACACATTTCTTTGTTGTTGTTGTAGAATTCCTTTTATTCTTCTGTAAGATCTTTCCTTAGGAACACCATTTCTCCTCATTTTTTTTTTAAACTTTTTTTTCTTGGAAGAATCATACATGTTCATTACACAAAACATAAGAATTAAAAGAAGACAAAAAAGACTCTTGGGATCATCAGATTGTATCTACTCTTTTGTAATTTACTTTTGTCAATGTAAATATCATAAGCTACTTTTCATGCTAACAGATGCACTTCTATGTATTATTTATAATGATGACATGAAATAGATATAATCATAGTTTGAAAGTAATCACTCCCTTTTGGGCAATAATGATTTCAGTGCTTACTGTTATAAACAACACTATGGAAACATCTATGTTGCTAAACTTTTGCATGCCATTCTTCATTATCTTTTTAAAGTAAATCCCCACAATTGCTATGTTGAAGGGCACACAGCTTTTAAAGCTCTTTTTACATACAGTGTGGATCTCAAATACCTTACCTGCTCCAAAAACAAGAGAAAGATTCTTCTCAAATCATTTCTGTCTTTTGGAATGAGTTTTTCCTGGAAATTAAGCATAGAGTCCGTTTTTGTGGTGTAATTGTTACCTGGCCTTCCTCAACTAGCCCAGTGATACATGTTTTTAGAACTAACTTGCATTGTGCTCTCTAAATAAATTACTGTTTGTGTGTGGGTCTGTGTTTTCAGGATCTAATGAATAGAGAGAAGAAAAACAAAATCCCAAGTATGCAAGTTGGATTCATAGATGCCATCTGTTTGCAACTGTATGAGGTATTTATATGAAAAAATGAGTGCTAGACTTGGTAAACTGTATTATGAATTAAATCTAAAATAAATTCAAGTGATTAACACTAGGCACATATTTTTTGCTTCTTAATCAAGAAACAAGAAGTAAAATTATCAGCATTATTTCTTTTATTAATGAATATAAAGTTTTCTTTGGATAAAGTTTCTCAAAAATTTTGATTCATTCAGCGTAAGAATATCTATTGAGTGCCTACTCTGTGCTAAGCTGATTTAGGGGATTCTAAGAAGAATCCTGTACCAACATTGTCCTTACTGAGAAATATTGTGCATACTCTGTATTAGCATACTCTTTTTTTAAGTCTAAATAAAGAAAAATAAGTGTACAATTTTCTGTCATTGTCATAGTGTGGCTTTAATATTGTTAAGAAAAATTTTATGGGGTTAGAAGAGATATTGCAGGTTCCCATTTCTATTCATCTGCTAGTTTGGTTTTTTTAGGTAAATATATTTCTTCTTAAAACACTCCATTTATTAGTTTAGATGTTTATGGCCCAAGGACAGAAAGTTGATGCTGTCATTGTCTTTAAAACATTTAAACAGTAAACTTTTTATTTTTAATTATTTGGGAAAGGAGTATTTATCGTGAAGTCAAAACCAGAAGAAACCCTAGAAATCTGGTTCAGACATTCTACAAATTGAGCGCTGAAATTCAATCTCCATTCCAGGGAAATGAGAGTATTTGCCCCATCAGACAGGTAGTTATGGGAGAACTGCCTCTGGGGTCCAGTTCTCATCCCTAGTCAGGGGCTCTGTCCATCAAAAATTGTTAATAAAGATGTTGTGGCTGACGAGAAGTGGAGGAGGAAAGAACAGGGGAGACACCAAAAGAAACATGGAGAAAGAACAACCTCTTTACCACTGTCTCCCCACCTTTTCCATTATTCTGTTTGTTTACTCTGTTATTTACAAGTTCTTCCTCAGAAGTGGATTCAGAGCAGTGTTTCAAACACCCTGGAACATCTCATTCTTTCTATAACAGATGCTTTCCATATAACTGGATTGAGTTCCTCAACTGAACATACTAATAATGCCTTTTTAAATTTTTTCCCATCCTTTACATACAGCCAGAATAGCGATCAGATTCCCCCATTATAGATTTTATCTTTTGACGTTTCATATACGTGTAAGGTTCGTTTCATTTAACTCTGCTATTGAAAATTCTAGTGATATTGATGTGTATTTTTACTATTATTTATTATAGAAGCAATATGTTCTCATTGTGGAAAAACCAGAGACTATGGAAAAGCAAAAAGGAAGATTAAAATCACCTATAATTCCACTACTCAGATGTAACCACTATTAACATGTGTAACCTTCGCACCATTTTTACATTTAAAAAAAAAATTGATTTTTGGAATCCATAATGTATCATGTACATCTTTCTGTGTCAAATGTATTTCTATGACAACATTTGTAATTGCTGCAGAATAGTAATACAATATGCCAAACTTTTTTGTTGGGTATTTAAGTGATTTTCAATGTTTCTCTATTACAAAGAAATTTGCAATGAATGTTTTTGTAGCTAAATACTTACAGCACTTTAGTTAGTAAATAACAATACTACATAGAATTATAAATTAATCTTTATTATAATCTTTGATAAAAATCTATTTAAGTGCATTGTATAAAGCCATTCTATGGAAAAACACAAAAACTGAGCCATTCCCAATGCACACACACTTAGGGAGAGCCATCTGTGCTACACAGAAACAAAATGTATTGTTCTGTGGATTGCACACACAGGTCTGTTTCCATAGCTCAATAATGTTATTTTGTAATGTGTGCATTTGCGCTCTCTCTCAGCACGTACTCCTTCTCTGTATAGCTTCACAGGAATTGTTTGCAAATGATCTGCTGATGTGCTCACACAGCTTGTGAAAACCTCAGCAGTGGGTCTGCTCATGAAATGAGTGTGGGATGTGGCCCTTTGTGACGGGCCTGTGGGAGAGGGCTGTGTTTCCTGGCCTCCTTCTAGTTGCTTGCTTTCTTTTTCTCTCTTTAGGCCCTGACCCATGTATCAGAGGACTGTTTCCCTTTGCTGGATGGCTGCAGAAAGAACAGACAGAAGTGGCAGGCCCTTGCAGAACAGCAGGAGAAGACACTGATTAATGGGGAAAGCAGCCAGGCAAAGAGGAACTGAGTGGCCTCTTTCATGCAGAGTGGACGTTTATAGAGATGGTGTATTCTGCAGTAAGCCTGGTTCTGCTATCCACTGTACAGATTTGGTGTATACTTTGCCACTGCTGTATTTTTATTTTTGCACAACTTGTGAGAGCATAGCATGACATGTTTGTAGGGGACATAGTTTCTATATATCTGTTTTATGCCACTCAACCGAGATGATCGACGACACCCACTCTTAGCACATTGATAAAGAGCGCTGTTTGTGGTATTTTGTGCACTGCATAGTGCAGATGGCATTTTTGCACTGAGGATGTTTTTTGCTTGGAGATTTTAAATAATTGAGTTTTGTGTTTTCTGAATTACCAATCTTTCAAGAATGTTTGGAATCTTTCCTTTCTCAAAAATAGACTGGGAGCAAATGAAATCTGTTCTGTGACATTTAAAGCCTTCGTAGGACAGAGAAAAATGTAGGCTGAGTGAGTTTAAAGGGGAAAAGGGTATATTTGCCAACAATGTATTTCCTTTAAAAGAAAAAGGTCAGGCACTGTGAAATAATGGAAAGTACTGTGAGTCAGTATTATAAAGAAAAGGTATTAATTCACTGATCTGCTGTTTTAGTTAGAGAGCAGGCAGGAAAAGCACCTTGTCCTTTCATGCAGTATATCTTCAAAGGCTACCCATAAAACCCCTTCAGTCTAACCTGTCTGGTGTGAAACAGAGGAAGTCTTAGGAGAAGATCGGTCACTGGCTTTATTAAGGATGAGCATGATCCAGAAATGGAATGGCCCCGTGTTTAATTCTGTCAGAGGAGGGAAATGTTTTGTTGGAAGACCCTTCTGAGAGTTAATGAGTGTTGTGAATATTGAACTTCCTTTTTTAAACAACTTTCTCATCTCCCATCTCCTTATGGCTTTTAAGTCAACAACTTGAATTTCCAGAGGAAATTGACAAAGAAAAAAAAGGTAACTGGAGCACTGACCTGAACTGAGATCTGGCTGTAGATAGGAGAGGAGTACAAATGGAATCCGTTTTTTCTCTGTCAAGCGAAGTATAAAGAACAGTGTTGATTATATAAACAGCAAAGAGCTGTCCTCAGTGCTGAGGTCAAACATGAATTCAAGTGAGCAAGGAGGTGAGAAACCTCGGGCCTGAATAAAACGTAGCAGTTTTGAGGTTTTCAATCAAGAAACTGCCATATTTTGCTTTATAGGACGAGTCAGCCCAGAATCACAGTTTAGGAGTCATGCTAAACACTGACCCTCAGCTGGTTGTTGTTGATATTTCCTTCCCATCCTTTTTAGTATAGTTAACATCTTTTGTGGAATTTGAGCCTTTTTAAGTGGATTTCCTATGAGTCGGAATTGACTCGACCGCAACGGGTTTGGTTTTGGTTTGGTTTTAAGTGGCTTTCCAGTGTAAATGTCTGCCCCTAAATACACATTTATTCAATACTGGAAAAGCAGCAAATGAATGAGCACATAGTTCAGAAAGAAAAGTATGTTCCAAATATCCAGAAACATTTGGATTTGGGGAGAGTGGGAAGAGAGGTATTATTTGATTGGTTACCCCACCCCCTAAAAAAGTTATATCATCTGAGTTTCTATCACTAATTTGGATAGAAGACTTTTTAGGGATATGGTAATGCAGCAATCTCGAAACACATTGTTTTCCATTGAAATCTTTTTTTTTCCCTGAACTTTGCCTAAGATTCAACAACATGTTCTTTAAGTTTTTAAAATTCTGAGTTCCGTACTGTGTGTATATATATCTTGACATAATGTGGCTACATTCAGGCAAAAAAAAAGAAAGCAAAACAAATTATGTTGCTATTACTTTGTAACATAGTAAAGGCTAGTTTAGAAGTTATCAATTGTTTAATGTTATATGTGTTATCGTTGTAATACTTGTATTTACAGGATGTTATTTTATCTTATGTCCTACAGATGAGATCTGTAAGGTTGCCTCTTGGTGGCACTGGTGTGTAAATTACACAGACTGTCACTAAAACAATAGTATTTACATACCAATATACACCTATGCACGCATAAGTAATTTCTTAGTATAAAAAAAACTATATAAAACAGCGATCTTTAATAAGCTCTTTTTATCACATACATTGTGATTTAGCAGTTATGCTAATATCTGTAGTCATATACTTTAGTAGATTGTTTTAGGCCCCTCTAAGAATTCTTTTAAAGACATGGTAGATTGTGTGTGGAGGATTTGTATGCGTGCCATTTTAACAAGCAAGAAGACAGATTTAGATTAGTAATTCTTTGGTTTGCCTTTGTTTAATGGTTTCTTTTACTTTACTATTTAGACATTAAAAGAAATTGAGCAGTGCCATGGCTGTTTTATGCTAGAAGAAGAATACTTCTTTAGGACTGGTTAATTCGTTCAAATAATTTTTAAGTGTTAGCAAAATCATTCCAGCATGGATTAATATCTTTGGTACATGGGCACAAATCAAAGTTTTTGTTCTCATGTGAATATTTCCTTTCCAGTATCTTCTCAAGTTGGAAAATATATATATATATATTTAGTCCTCCCTCACCCTACCCTATATTTATATTACCCATAACTAGTAAGGAAATTTTCTTGCTCTAGATAAAAGGTAGTTTAGTTTTGTTTGTTTTAGTTACAGCTGAGTAATATGATACCATTTAATTTCACTTTTCATCTAAAAACTGTTCCCCCTATTTTACTAACTGGTTAAAATTGTGTGGCCTTATATTTTTCGAAGATTGACCTTTGCTTCTCTGTGTGAATTTGTGTAAGTCACTTAACCTCCTTGTGCCTGAACAAGTTGTGCTATTACAGAGTTATGTTTGGGCTAAGCCTTTGTCTTCAAGGAGGATGTCACAGAAGGCAGCTACTATGTAATAAATAGGCCCTGGAGACCACTGTCAGCAATGGGATACTGAGCTAGAGAGCACACTGATTTAATCCCACTTGTCATTTCTCATGTTGGGTTTCCAAGACCCAAAACACAAAGACAATGTATTGATTTACTCGGCTTCACATGCAGATCACTAGTGAGCATGAGATTTAGAGCTGGTTGAACACCTCACCTCATGAAAAAGAGTTTCCTTCAATGGGAGTATTGGAGATAAGAAAGTATAAGAAAATATATTGGATTCTGGGAGGAAACTGTTCTGTCACAGATGCAGTGTTGCCTGACAGAGAAGTGCCTTTATTTTCAGCCTAGAGCACAAATATTAGACCTGCCCAGATGTGATTTTCAGTTTTTCTGTGTTTTCCACCAGATTGTACTCCTAAGACTCAATACGTCTCAAGCAGTGCTGTTTTGTTTTTTTCAAGACTGCTTTATGTTGAGAAGGAAACAATGTAAATGCTGTCCTCTCCTGTAAACAACTGAAGTTAAGATAAGGTGGCAAGGTTTAGTTGCTCAGTATTAGACATTCATTGATCCACCTTGTATTGAGTCCCGACCACACATCGGGCTCTGTGCTCAGCCTTGGAGGTAGAGCAGTGACCTCACGGAGCTCACAGTCTATGTGGAAAGTGCCAGATAAGAGACTTGTCAGCTTCTGACCTACCAATTTAATGTGAAAATGTAGGGTACGTTATATCACTGTTTTCATCTATAACATGGATCACTCAGTTTTCCAAGGACCTTCTTTATGTGAAACTTTTGAAGAATCTATTGGTAAACATCCTGTCATTCGTGCAAGTTAGGAATCACTTAACCTTTTGATAGCTTAAAGAACACCTGTGTCAGGAGTCCTATATTCCACTATACTGGTGTTTTTTTCCATGTGCCAGCCAGACGATTCAAAGTTCTTTCAGACCTTGAGATGGTGCACAGCTTCGGACCCCTTCTGCTCTACCACAGGGAACGAGGAAGAAAGTATTAAAGCTCACCTCACCGTGCCCTTCCATATACTTATCAAAAGCCTGTGTAAAAGTGTCTTAATGAATGTTGTCAAAAGCAGTGTAAATAGTTGAAAATATAAATTTCTATTACAGTTGAAGAAAAGAAAACCTTATGAAATCATCACTAACCACTGTTAATATCTATTTGTATTCTTATACCTTTTCAATATATTTGAACAAATATATAGTTTCTGGCACTATTTTTGTACTAGGATAAAGGAGTTACTATGTATATTATGTTTAGCTTTTGAGTCATCTTAAATCATTGTGAATGTTGATTTCTTTTCTTTCCTCCCCCACCACGAGAATCATTTCAGATGACTCTTCTATGACAAAATCACACTAAAGTAGTTATTTACCCACCTGTGATCCCTGTAAAGTTATGGGATGTTCAGGGTGCTTTCCATTGTGCAAACTCTTCACCTGTCAATTATCTCCTCATTTTGCTTTGTAAAAATAAAAAAGAAAAACAAGCAGGTACAAGTGTTGTGTGATTATTAAGGGACTTTGAATTTTAAGAGTGGGGCATTATTTGGGGACTTTGGATTTTAGGCAACGAGCATAGCGGCCCCCACTAGTTCCAGAGACTTTAATCAAGCGAATGTGTGATCCTGTGAACTGAAGTAAAATGTCATTTAACCCTTCTCTTAGCTGAGACTCCTCTCAGAAATAGTCTTCCTGTTATTTATATCCTCTGCTACCAGTTTGGGGGCAACATTTTCCATACACCTTCTCATTTGAGGTCCATGACAACACTGTGGAGGGTGATTACCATGACGAGGGAGGGCTTAGGAGTTACAAGTAGCAGGAGCTGGCTTTGAGCCCAGATCTGTCAAGTTTCAAAGCAAGTGTTTATTCCACTTAGTTATCTTTTTGAATTTTAGATTTAAAAGGTCCCAAATCCATTCTTACTGGATCAAATTGGCAATAATGCTTTCACCTTAGAAGCATCAGAGATAAGATTCCCCTCACACAGCAGGTTTGGTATTTTTTTTACAGTAAAGCCAGTTGCTATCGAATCAGTTCCAACGCATGGTGACCCCAAGTGTGTCAGAGTATAATTGTGCTTCATAGGGTTTTAAATGTCTGATTTTTTGGAAGTAAATCATCAGGCACCTTTGGGTGAACTCAATTAGGTTAGCAGCCCAGCTAACCATTTGCATCACCCAGGGACTCTTTATCAGTCACAGAATCCCAGACACCGCCGCATCTCAGTGCTGCTAGTCTAGAGGTGAGGAGATATAACTAAACAAAGAATTCCTGATTCCATTATTTAGTTTTGCCACTAGCCAGCCCTCTGTGTGGGGTAGAATATCAAAGCTATGCCTAGTTCACAAAAGTAAAACAAACTCATTTTAAAAAAAAAGTTTTTTAATTTTCTGTCCACAAGAAAGCGCCAGAGTTCCAGTTGTATTTAAAGAAGTAATCCTTTCCTGGGCATGAACAACAAGTAAAACTGCTTTTAAAAAGATTTTTACTAGTTAAAGAGAAATAAATGGAAAATAACAATACAGAACTTAGGGTAAAATAAAAAGTTTTTTAAAAAGGTCACTGCTACTTTATGGTTTGTTTCTTAACACTTGCTGCCTTTTGTCCAGTGGTCATTTCCACATTTTAGATTCCTCCCATTAAACTATGAGTCAGAATCAACTCGATGGCAGTGGGTTTGGTTTTCTGGTTTCTTATTAAACTGGAGTCTGAGGGGCAATCTTGCATGACTAAAGGAAAAAAAACGATAAATGGAGACTATCATGATAACTTTCAACTTTAATATACCCAATATTAATTACAGGCGGTCCCTGGGTTACTAACTTCTGACTTACATACAACCCCTAGTTAATGAACCAACTCCTGTAAAGCCTATTACATTAAAAATTTGAGGTACGCACCATGGATCCTGGTAACAAACAGGTGCTTCTGTGCTATGCTCTTCAAAATGTTATTACTGTATTATTATGTTAAAGATGTTTTAGTGTATCTGGAAGTGTTTCTTTAAAGTTTTTTATGCATAGAAAGGTACACTATATACTAAGACAAACATCTAACTAACTGAGTTAGATATGAACTGAACCTAACTATTCCCATGTACGTACAAAATCGACTTAAAGACAGGTACGGAACTGGTTCATATTCCAGAGACTGCTTGTACTTTTAGAGCCATATCTCCCAAATTCACCTCACAGCACTGGTTCCCTTGCCCAAAAGGTTTGTTTTTAAGTTTTATACAACATCACTCCAGCATATTCCTGTAAGAAATGATTCCCCTTTTAACACCCAACTCCCTGAAATTCAGGACTCTCTGGTCTTACTGATGTGCCTAGGCCAAGGAGGAGAAGTATAAAAATGGTCAACAGCTCTACCTCAGCTACAACTGCTTTCTTTCCAGAAAAGCCAATAGAAGCCACTACTAAGGGTGCTAGACTGAGACTATTAGCATAATTAACAGATTCCTTGGAAGATGAAGGTGAGGACTATGTTCCTTCCTCCAGGCCTACAAACATGTTCAGTTCTCTCCTGCCCCTAAGAATGCCTACGTTAGTCACACAGCCCTCCTAAGCTACCAGCATTTATTTCTTATACATCAGAGGTACTCAACAAATGTTTACTGAGTGAAAGAAAAGATTTCCATCTCTTCTCACAGGACATAAAATGTAATTTTTTATAAAAAAAGGAGAAAGTAATTCTTGTGAAGGGCAATAGAAAAATCAATGCACATTTTTAGAAATAATTGGACAAGGGCTGAAATTAAAGATGAAAAACTTAATGCAACTTTTTTCTTTAGAAAAAATATTTCTGTTTTCTACTCTGAAATATAAGTTCTTTGACAGGCTTTCATTAATTGGTATCCATTTGTGGCATTACTCCCAGTGGGATTTTTACTTATATTGTTAGGAGCCAAAGAAAATTCATAAAGGATTTTAAACCCAGTTGTTATCAAGTCATTT